TTCCTATTGGGCAATATTCATATCAAGCTCTATCAACATCTGCATTCGAACATGTTCACTCGCTATCACTCGACTTCCATCTTGGCAAAAAGACTGGTGAAGTTTTGAGCGCACTCAGCAAGGGAAATGCAATCAATAATTTCCTTGAGCAGGTTTCGTTCCAGGTTGTACCTATGCTCGTAGACTTGGGTGTGGCTATTGCGTATTTCTTTTTTGAGTTTGATGCGTAAGTTTCCCATATAGCTTGAAATTATGGTCATTGCTGATATATTCCAGATATTATGCGCTTATCGTTGCCATCGTAACTTTCTGCTACCTCTACATCACCGTCAGAATGGCCCAGTGGCGTGCGGATATCCGTCGTGAAATGGTCAACAAGTCGCGCGAGGAAGATGCCGTTAAGAACGACTCTATGATTGCCTACGAAACCGTCAAATATTTCAATGCTGAGGCCTATGAATTTGGACGCTACAGATCTGCAGTTAGGGCTTACCAGAATGCGGAGAAAAAGGTTCTACTCAGTCTTAACCTCATGAACGTTACGCAGAACCTGGTCTTTACAATTGGACTTGTCATTGCTTGCTTTTTGGCTGCATGGCAGGTTACTATTGGGGAAATTAGAGTTGGAAAATTTGTATCTCTTTTGGCATATCTTGCTCAATTGCAAGGCCCGCTGAATTTCTTTGGAACATTTTACAGGAGCATTCAAAGCTCTATGATCAATTCTGAGAGAATGCTTGAATTGGTAAGTTAAAATCCGAATTTTATAAGTTGCATAATTACTAATAAAAATACAGTTCAAGGAAGAGCCGACAGTTGTAGATGCCCCAGAAGCCGGGGAGATTAGTTCTTGCACTGGTGAAATCACCTTCAAAGACGTCCATTTCTCCTACGATCATCGCAAGCCCGCGCTCCGTGGTCTTGACTTTGTGTGCAAACCTGGAACAACAACTGCATTTGTTGGAGAGAGCGGTGGTGGTAAAACAACCGTCTTGAGACTCTTGTTTAGATTCTATAACATTCAACAAGGATCTATTATGGTTGACGGACAAGACGTGCGTGATATTACCATTGACTCTCTCCGTTCAAAGATCGGTGTTGTTCCTCAAGATACTGTGTTGTTCAACGAATCCGTCATGTACAATCTTAAATACGCCAACCCCGACGCAACTGACGAAATGGTCCACGAAGCCTGCCGCGCTGCTAGTATCCACGATAAAATCATGAGCTTCCCTGATGGCTACGAGACCAAAGTAGGAGAACGTGGACTACGTCTTTCCGGTGGCGAAAAGCAGCGTGTCGCAATCGCAAGAACAATTCTCAAGGACCCTAAAATTATTCTCCTCGATGAGGCAACAGCTGCGTTGGATTCTGAAACTGAGCAGCATATTCAAGCAGCTCTCAAGGAACTTGCAAAGGGCCGAACAACTCTCGTTATCGCGCACCGGCTTTCAACCATCACGCAGGCGAACCAGATTCTCTGTCTTCACGAAGGTAAAGTCATCGAGGCAGGAACCCACGAAGAGCTTCTTGCAAAGGGAGGAAGGTACGCTATGATGTGGCGTAAGCAAATCCGCGCAGAGATGAAGAAGGCAAAGCTTGAGGAGACCGAATCCGAATCCGACGATGTACAGCCTTTGATTGATTTGGAGCCTTCACAGCCTTCTAAAGAGCCGTCAATCTTTGAAGGATCCGGCTTTATTCCTGTACCGATGCACGACCCGAGGGATCGATGTGGTGCTGTTGACGGAGTGATACCACCAAGTATGTTGGATATTGAACCAAGTCCTAAGAGGGCTGCTGTACTCGAGTCGGGTATCCCTGCTTCACCACCAAGAGCACCAAGAGCACCCACACGAGCATTCACAGACTCTGGGAATAATTCTCCTGTCTCCGGGGGGAAGGGCAAAGAACGAGAAGGTTTGAGGAGGAGTGGGAGTGCGATGTCAACTGCAAGCGGCGGGAAATGGAGTGCAAAGGGACTCAGAAAGGCTTTGAGTATGAAGGGAAAGAACGTAACTCTGCACAAGCGGTCTGCAAGCAGTAGCGGACTGCTTGAGAGAGCTGCTAGCAGCGGAGGTGGAGGCAGAAGATCTGGCGGTGGCGGTAGTGGTAGTGGTAATGCTGCTGGTACTGATGGTGCTGGAGGTTCTTCTGGAGGCTCGAAGGCTGAAGCTGATAAGACAGAATGATTGAACTTTACTAATAAATCTTAAAAACCAAAAGTTGAATAGGGAAAGGATGCACGACATCTGAAGTCATTTGTGGGCAGGTGGTTTTAGGAGCTATGAGAACGATAACGAGTAGAGCATTGTTTTCTGCATGTCTTTGGTCTTGCCGTTACAGCCAGCCAGCCCATTGCTTTTTCTTTTTCTCCTACGCATTATTGTTCTCTTTCATGTTTCATGTCTGCTGATGAATCTGCATCCACCACGGGTACGATTTTCATATTTAGTTTTCGGAATGGCTGGGGTTGTGTTGGGAAGGGTGTTTTTGTGTACTGCGGCATGTTATACACGATGCTATACTTTATTTTCGTTTTGTCTTTTCCCCACCTTCAATCCATCTATTATTGTTCCTTTAGCCCCTGTTTTTCTATGATTAAGCGTTTTGTCTTTGTGTCTTTGTGTCTTACGAATCATCTATGCGAGTCCTTTTTTGCAAGTTTTTCAGAATTTAGATAAACACGGTTTTGATGCATAGGTATCTGTTTTTTTTTTTCCTTTTCTTTTTCCAATGGCGAATCGATTCCCCTTTATTGCTTCTTTGCTTTTTTCCTGTTTTCCTGCTTTCGATTTTTCTTCCACGTTTTTCCATGCTGCTTGATTGATTCGAGGATTGATTGAGCGAGAAACCACTGATTTTTCCGAACTTTTCTTTTGACTGCGGTGTGAATAAGATGACGGGGATCAATGAGCAATGTTTGTTTTTTGTGATTAAAATTTCCGAGGATTGGAGGAGTAGAGTAGAGTCAAATTTGATACTGGTATGCATGCTGTTGGGACAGAGTAGACATAGGTACCATGGTTCTACCTACGCTATCCCGTCACTACTTTATTCGAGAATGGGAACCGACCACGACACACGATCTGCAAATACAACCTGACGGGCGGTGAGGTTTGTCCATTAAATTCAATCTGATTATTAATTGTATACGGGCTAGTTATTTGTAACTGGTCGTTGGCACTTGCTCGCCGTCGACTTCTCTTGATCGTCCCGGCGTCACAATGGTCAGGAGGCATAATCTATTTGTAACCAGGCAGCTATACTATTATTCCGAAAGAGGACACCCGGGGTTAGTATCAGAACCATCCGACTACTCAACTGAATATTTGCACTCACTACGGCTTCAGCCCAAAATACTCAACCAACTACCCGTCCTCGACTCCAGATTATCCTTCTCCCGGGGACGACGGTTCTTTGTAGGATCCATGTAACTATAGCTACATATCAACTTACTCATATTCCTGATCTCTGTCGATCTGGTTACAAATAACATGCATTGCTGACTTTGGCCAAAAAATGAAAAATGGAAAAAGAATGGTGAGCCGATGGCCTCTTCAAAAAAATGTATCCCTTGCCATCCTATGTGGTCGTTCTTTCCGCTGGTCTTTTTCACATTTCCCGCTATCACATTCACTTTGAGTGCAAAGTAAAAAATGTTTCCTCAGTTCGTATTTCAATCCTAAACTGCCGCGGAGCCGTTTAATTGAGCCGATTGGAACTGTCTGTATTCTGTGAATATACAGAGGCGTATCGTGATTGAGACAAAACAGTTTGTTGTCGTTGTTGTTTTGACTGAGGAAAAAAAAACCCGTTTCAAGTATCATTGGATGAATGCATGTGCGTGCCTTCTTCGCCAGCCGCCGTTAAACACGACGAGTAGAAATATCAGACTATGCTTCGCCGTGCGGCAAATACGGATAAATAGCCCTCTTTTTTTTCCTGTCACTTTTTTTTTTTTTTTTCTGGCAGCTGGCTACGCGAGTTGAGATCTAGGCGTGAGTTGAGATCTAGGCATGTACGGCGGTGCGACTTATCCGCGATGTACGCAAGGCCAGTCGGTTCGGGCCGCCGCGTCTATGGCGAGAGTACGCACACTAACTTACGCGCAAGCAAGTCCGCCTGAAGAATATTTTATCGACATGTAGTCGACACATACTTAGCGTGATGAGAGGGGCTGAAACGTACTAGTTAAAGGTGTACTCGTGATAGGTTGTACTCGTGATAGGTACATAAGCCAATCTACTCGTCTATGCTTCAGTACTAAGAATGACCCAGTAATTTTGCCTGAACTTGCATCTTTTTTCCTGCCCCGAGGACAAGAGAAATCTACGTAGTCAGTGATTGTACAGTTGTCACTAGATGCCCAAAAATACCAATTCCGACCCCAACTGTTCATACCTCAGTACATTGATCATGTACCTACAGAATAAAAGTATCAATGCTCAAGTAGAATATACGAACAACCTATCATTGACATGATTCAGTGTTGTCGTGTGGCAATAATAAGCTATGGCCTTTTGGAGTCAGCCAACTCATAGTGAATTTAAGGTAGTGCGGGCTGTGTGGACTGACACTGGTTTGGGAAGGGATTTTTTATGCAATATGCAACGTTCATGTGACAGAAACCATCACTTGGAATTCGAACGGGTGCCCTTTTATTCGTAGGAACAGCCAAAGACGAGTCCAATTACTTATTGGCATGACTATAAGCCCACGACTAACAGCAACACCCCCCTCATCCAATGCAACAGCCCCACCCCCTCATTTTGTGCCTTTGTCTTCCCTTCCAGCGGAATGTCTCGCCATCTCTTGCTCTTGCATCTCATCTTTTATGTATCATCAGTGTCTTCGGTACATCCGCTGTATCATATCTGCATACCTGCCACCGATTCATCGAACCCGAAAAGGAAAATCCAAATGCTTATCAGGTAATAACTTTGATTCGTGCTTATACCAGTAAGCCGGTTGGCCATAGCCAAAGGTTCTACGCCTCTTTAGCTTTTTCTATCTCCGTACCTGCTATCATATCAGTTGTTCAGATTTCTCACACTCACCATACCGCCTTGAGTGTGTATGTATATGTACGTACACGTAGCCCAAATCTTCGTCTATCAACTAAGCAAACTTCCTCCTCTCTTCCAATTATCGATTAGTTCTTTGATTTCACTGGGGTCATTCTACGATAGTCTGTAAAGCTCAATCTCACAACTCAGATTATTCCTTGTCAAAAAACATCAGCTACTTTTTTATACCGATCCAAGATCCAAATAGAAACCTACCATTGGGACACGATAGATTGAAGCAAGAACTAAGGGTTTATAGGATATGTTGTTGTTGTCCGAGCAAGTTACGAGTAGTTTAAGATCGGCAGCAGCACGTAACTCAAAATCCCACTGAATGTTGTACGGAGATGAGTGACGCATAGGAGTAGACCAGCCGTGTACCTCAACGCTAAAAAGTAGTTATGCTATTACCAAAACCAGTCTTGTCAATGCCATAAACTTGTCCGTGACTTTTAAAAGGAATGATACTTTCTTAGTTGTTCCACTAGAGTTGTCTGTCATATTTCACAGCAGAAAATTCCGCACCTTTAAAGATGTATTGGACGAGTGATAGTTTGTGATTATGTCGATCCGCTTAAGTAGGCCGTTTCAATTTTGCCAAGACCTACACCAAGGGCTAATTGCAAACATGAGAAAGAAGTAATTATATGGGAAGGTATCATAAGATTGTGAACGCATCGCTGGCTGGTCCTAGATCACAGAGCATCACCCGGAAAGTACATGTAGTACTGGTGCGAGTGTCAGCCTAGGCCCCAAGCGGAATTCGGTGTGAAGCGGCAAGGGCAAGAGGCGTGATGCTCTAGAATGAAAGGGCGGGTGCGGCGGGGGGTTCGAACCTATGTAATCCCAAGTGACGCATGATGCGATGAGGCGTTTTGGAGGGGCTCTGCACCCATGTTTGCGGAACAGAAAGATGGCGTACCCTGTAAAGCTTGGTGATTATGGCGATGGTCGGCTACTCCGCTTTAGGAAGGAAGGCATCTCGCCAAACATCTCTTCTTCCCTCTCTCTTTTTTTTTTTTTTTTTTAGCGACGACAAGCATCTTGAAGCGAAAAGGGGGTTGCTTACATGTGTCCAGGGCAGACCTACGGTTATCTCAACCGAGCGATTGAGACAAAGTCTCTCTTAGCTAGGTTGTAGGGAAACTGTGTGGCCATGAATAGGTACATACATGTACTATATTCAACCCTCCTCCTGGTCCCGCTGATTTGGAGAGAGTCAATTCTAAATCCTGGGGTTGCTGAAGTCATGAAATCCAACTCACTCACTATGGTTAAGTTCTTAATAAAGAAGTTCTTATTGAGAGATACGCAGTTTCCATAACACAACTGAATGAATCTCACTGGATGATTCCACCAATAATTCTTGACGAAACGGCGTTGTTTGCAATTGTAGCATTTTCCATCGCTCCCCAGAGTGTCCTCTGCGTTGTTCTCATAATGTCTTTTGACGTGGAATATAAGTGAGGTCTTGTGCAGAGCCCTTTTCTGAACCCCTATGTAGATCATGTTTGTGCTATTGTTGACTCTATCAACCAATGGTAATCGTCGTATCACAACATCGACTGGTCCGATGACATTTCTCTTACCGTGTTACATGCTGGTTTAATGCAGTAACCGCAACTCAGCCAACATTTCTTGATTGAATTAATAGTAGTTGGATTATCACTACTATAGAATGAGAAAGTAGTTTAATGTTTGGCTGCTGCTCATAGGCGTAAGGCATACGGCACGGGTATGGGTTGCAAAGCCACAACCTCTCGTTACTTGTGCAAAGTCGTAATGTTGATGCCCAGTAATTCTTGTACCTACTTCAGCTAGACTTCTCTAGCCGTGAAGCCATTTGGATGGTGTTCCTCCGGCGAACAACTATGTACCTCGAATATGCCATGCGACCACGGGGCTACATGCACTTTCTCGGGAAGAAAGGGAAAAGAAAAAAAAAAGGATCTCCAACTTTGGTAGGCAAAGTGACGAAGTATGTAGCCAGATGTCCTCATCGGAATCATCGCAGGCAACTAAACTCGTTGGACAGAATTCATAAGATGATTTTTATAGCCTTGACACCCCACCAATTGAAAAGTGCCTATATCGTTTCCCAATTTGGCGTATTAACTAAAAACAATCCGGCGATAGGTGTGTAGAACAACATTTGGCTGTTTATTAACCTCCTGTCGTTCCCTATTGGGGTGAAGTGTGTATTGCTCCTGCCAATTGATGTTCAACTGAACCAATCAAGTCAAGGCAGCTAAACTTAGGCGCCCTGTCAACGGTTGTTTAAACCTATTGGGCTTAGTTTTGTGCGAGGCCATCAACGAGCGAACAGGGTTGGGCGCTTCCATTCAAATTTAGAAACCACACCGGGAAGCCCATCTCTGGCTGATCTCAGTGTCTGTAGAGTACCTACAATGGGAATTAAGCTGTGCCATGTGTGTGCTCACATCATAAAGAGGCCTTCCCCACCATGGGCACCTATGATGGTAGATTTTCGAGATACTATTTTTCTTCGAATATTCAGAGTTGATCTCGAACGAACGAGCCTCCTTTCGGCTGCTCTGGGATCAATTGTTTGGGCCGGAGATCTAAACAATATTGCGATATCGACTCCCAGTTACGACTACTTCGTTCAATTGCAACTACGACGCATTTAACCGTGTCTTTGAAGCGTAGGAAAGGTACACTGGGCATCAGCGAGGAGAGTATTCAAGGAAAGCGGCCAGTTTTTATTACCTGTGCCTAGTGCAGCTGGAGATTGTTAGGGTTGGTGGATTGCAAGGTCGACGGCATAGACAACACACCGTAGGAATCGACGACACTCAGTTGTTTAGGCCGTTTTAGTGAATAGTCAAAGGTATATTTAACACCCATTTATTCGTTGCCCTGGGCAGGGATGTGAGGCTGGGCCGAGGCTATCCAGTTTGGTTCGAATGGAAATGATTATTTCAATCAGAAAAAGCGGCTTGAACCTCAGTTGTGTTTACTTAAAAATGTCTTCTAACTGGACAATTTTGACCTGCTTAGGTTATGTCGCCCTCATTACCAAAATCATCATTTGTATTCGTCATTCTTTTCACGATATCCTGCCTCGTCCCATTCACAACAGCCCTGCCTGGAGGATTGCGACCGCGGGAGATACTACCAGATTTTCTCTCCTTTATTCCAAGCTGTGCGGTAAAATGCACATCAAGGAAAATTGCCGATGTGGATTGCCAGGATAATAGTCAAGCATGTCTCTGCAACTCACCGGGGTTTCAAGACTCTCTCTGGGAATGCATCGACGGGGACTGTGGTGGTCCAAGATCACAAGCGCACGATGAATCTGAGAGTACGGTTAAGAGTCTGTGCAAGTCAAGAGACTCGATGACCGAGACTTCTACTAGCTCAACGTCGTCGCAGACACCGACCTCCGCCACGGGTTCCCCCGAATCAGCGGCTGAGACTTCAACAGCTTCGAGATCTTCCCAAGAGGCTTCCCCTACAGCCCAGATCTCAATAACTCCTACAGCTGCAGCTGATGGACCCCTTACTGAGGATACCACTGTCTCCGATGGTGCCACTGCTTCCGCGAGTACGGCTGTAATTAAGAAAGAAAAACTCAAGTTGTCGACCCCGGCAATTGTTGGGATTTCCATCGGTGCCTTCTGCTTAACAGCAGCAGTGATTGGGGCATGTGTCTTTTGTATATGCAGAAAGAACCATAGAAAACAGGCCCAGTCGCTCGAGCCCCATGCTCCTCGCGGCGGAGCTGCCATTAGTGGCGACAAGGAGAATACCGGATATGGCGGATGGATTTCCATAGACCACAGCAACAATACCGGTGGCTATTACTCAAATCATGGGGTGACACCGATCAACACAGACGTGGCGAACGAGAAGCCTAATGCTCATAATGGCCTGAATATCTCTCCCGTCTCCCCAGTCAGCCCCACAATCTTTCGAGGATTCGAATTTGGGGAGTCTATACAGCAACGAGGCCAGCCTGCTGGATCGCAGAAAATTATGGAAAACCCACATCAGTTTATGCCACCAGAAATGATATACACACCTCCGAGCCCCATCGGATCTGTGGACCGAACATCAGATTCAGTCATCTTGCCCTCACCTGCCCAGAATAGAATACACTCCTCGAACTTCTCTGTCCATTCTTACGACGGTTATCCAGGCATAGCAATTTCCACAGATTCCCCGGAGGATTTCCAGATGTCTTCACAACACCACACGTGCTCCTCAACTACTGAGAAGCGTTCTGATCATCCTAGTGATCCGCTCATCTCAGCAGCCACTCCACCAAAATATACTCCATCGCCTCCAGTATCGGAAAGCTCCGCCAGTATCAGGTCATCAATACACTCAACTCAGGGACCGCCGACTACGGGTATCTCTCGATCGGATACACTGGCGTGGAGGCGAGAGCTGGACGAGGCAGCAGGACGCGCATTAACGCGTGTGCTGCATTCTGAACAGAGCATCAACGAGGAGATGGATGAGGCGAAGCGACGGAAAAGCAGTATCCCAGGTCTGAATAGGTTCTCCAGGCGGCTGAGCCGAGACCACAGGGCGGACGAGGAGAACAGCTTGGTCGGAGGCGAAAAAAGTACAGGTTTTTGGGGCGGTTTTGGTTACAAGGGCAGCCGTATAAGTCGTACAAGTCCTGCCAAAAATTCGGGGTTCATGGGCAGACGTTCGAACAGTAATGCTAGTGGGGGTAGCAAACGTTCAATAATTCCAGAAAGAGGGGGACGCATTAATTAATAATGCGAATAATGCAACTGTAAATGATAATGTTCCTGTATTCATCAGTATTTCTGTACATTGAGCGTGAACACTTGTAAGATAGAACGATAGAGGGGTCTGAAGAATTATTACATATGAGCTATTATCTTACCACATGAGATTATCTCACAACCGTTGTTTTCATTGTATTTTGAGCCTCAGCTACACTTTTTTTGCTTTTGTTAGGTTGTGAAACATTAATTGGTTGTGGCAATAACGTATTCTTGCATGTTTATCAACGCGTATGACTGCGCCTTCCAAACATCTGCCTGATGATGGAATACCACAGATACCTTTGTTTCGCAGGCTGAGTCAAAACATTGGCGGTTATATTGGTGATGAAATCCAGATGGCGATGAGATGGTGGGTGGAGGGAGGTGCAGAATTTCAGTCACTGCTGCCTGCGGTAATGCCTCCCGCGTCAGAATCTAAAGTGAATTGTGCCCATCGAATCTTTTCTATTTTCATCCAATCAAAAGCTATTGGCCGTTAAATTTTTTGTTCTCAGAAACGGTAAGTACATTGTAATGACGCACATTCTGTACCCTGCGCGGCAACACTGCTGTTGAATACATGTACTTAACCCATCTATCAGTACATATATAGCTTAGATATAAACATTATGCAACCTGCATCTCAGAACCCGATGGGTTCGCATCGGCTGAATCATTGTCAGTTTTGAGCGAAAGTCTAACCCTTTTCAATCCGTAGAATGTATCAGGAGAAAATTCGATATCTATTCTAGAAACTCAACCAGCATAACCGGAATCAGGGCCGTATCATATCGCGTGTGAAGCGAGTGGTGTCAGGCGTTTTTTATACAGTAAGACAAATTGTTGAATCTACCGTGTCAAGTCAAATCTGTCGGTACGTCCGAGCCTGATGATATGCACACCGTTTTCTACATAGCTGCACACCATTGAAGTTTACACTCCTGTTTTGGACGAAATACATAGCTACATGATGGTTCGTTCCATTCATTTACTTGTGAAGAAAACTTCACCATCATTATTTTTTCAGAAGAAAAAAGTTTCGATGCAGGTTGGCCATGGTGGTTTCTCACCGCTCTATGCCACGTCTCTCTTATACCGTGTATACTGCTGATGCTCACCCCCGCTTGGTTTCTATGGGGTAGCACATTCCGAGTCAGTATGTGCGATCTTAGCTAGGGGCGCTGTTTATCCAGTCCCTGGAGTAAAAAAAAAAAAAAAAAAAAAAAAAGAGTGAGGCTGCTAGCTGCGCAGTGTAATGCCTAGAGAAGTTACGCTCAGTTACCCGCGATATTCGGATTCCGTCTCGTGAGTTATGTATGCATCCACAAAATCCTAAGTATGTGCATCGACTCTCTTGAATCGAAGGAATGGTATGAGAGTACGTATGTACGTGTTCGGTCGAGAAAGGGAAAAAAAGTAATTTACAAATGGTTTTGTAGGTATGTACCCCTTTAACTTTCTAAACTTTCTATAGGTGAAAGAGAGTTCAGAATCACCCTGACCGACGCTAGTGCAGCTGAGCTACTACCGCAGTAGAGCTAAGCCGTGAAACAGGAAACATCTTCTCTCCTTTAAAGCCTTTTGAGTGACCCCTTGAATCAATTGCTTTCATCAGACTTCTTTTCATTCTCAGCATCACACAAGGATCAGAGCGTACGTATTCTTCCTTTACAACGTCTCTTCTTCACCTTGCCTACTCCCGTTTAGCCTTTCCTGGCTGAAATCTCCCCTAGGGATCATCCTGATAGTGGTTCACAAACAAGCCCTATCATCGAATTCACGGCCATAATCGCCAGTTAGCCAGTAATGGGAAAGGCCCTAAAAGCTCCGCTTACAGAAACAATGGCCAGCGCCACTGCTATGACTCCCGAAGCTACTCAACTTTTTGCGCTCTATCAAGAGAAGCAAGATAATCTTGCTATGGAGTTCAAACGAGCTTTGGCAAATTTGACCGGAACGTCCCTGCCATCAGAGCCACGGAAGGAAATCGTGAGAGATGTGCAAGACTCAAGCTCAAATCTATCGGATTCCGAGGATTGCAGTAACAACGATGAAACGGATGGCCATGGAGACTCATCTTCATCGGATGAAGATCCACCATTGCCACCAGCAGCGGATCCAAGTAATCCTTTGTCTCCTTCTGAGCTTGCCAGGCTAGCGAAGGGAGGTAGGCGATCACGGAAAAACGAATCTTCTAATCTAAATGCCAAAAAGAGGTCCAAGTCAACAAACGGGGTAGCAAAGAAAAAGCTAGAGATAAACGGCATTACCACTAACGGGGTGAAAAATGGAGCGAACGGAGTCGCAAATCTATTGCCGAACAGAGGAAACCTTAACTCGTACTCTGGACCACCTCTATCACCTGGTTCTGTGATGGGAATGAAGTCCGATGGATCGATGGTAAATGGAGATGTCGCAGATAATGAGAAGAAAGCGCGGGTAAGGGCCAGCAAGATGGAGTTCAAGAGGCTTGATGAAGTGTATGTGTTTAATTCCAGATCACAACCACCATTCCAATATATACCCAATTTTAAGTTTTAAAAAAACGAATGACTGAGCTAACCTCTAAATACTCTCTTAGATACAATAAGGCGATACATGACTTTTATCTTGCTGAATCTTCAACATCACCTTCGGCAAAGGATGATAAATGGGAAGAATATATCTTTGTTGTACGACGAAGATTTGGTATCTACCTCTTTATATTGACTTGTATCACGTCCCAATTAATGCTAACTGTGAAACATCGAGAGTAGACTATCAAAACAAATTCCTAAAATCTTATGTTGATATAAAAAGTGTTGATCTCCGTGATGTTCTGAGAGAAGTTCTGAAGGATGTCTCCGGTATTGGTTTGAGGGAAGATAAACCTACAGTAGGTGCCCATAAGATGAATTCAAGAGAATCGACGCATTTTCCATGACTTTCTTCCTGGAACATTTCTTCTGTTTCAGATTTCTAACTGAGATAATTGTTGTTTTAGATTGAACCCAGTCTTCTATTCAATTACCTCCCCCAATTGGAAGCCGAGCTTATTAAGGAAAGAAATCGTACGGAGAAAGAACAGAACAAAACTCTTATTCAGCACCTTACAATACTCACCAAATACATCGAATCAGACTATGCCCCAACTGTCAAAAGACTTTATCCGCTTCTCCAACACCAGGAGATAACATTTGATCTACTATGGGCACTCTTCTTGCCTAATACACTGGTACATACTACATGTGCTGGTTCTAACGAGTCTCGGTGTCTCAAATTGGACTGGGGTGAGCAGAAGGAGAGCCTTGAAAGAGGCAAATTCTTTCAACTTGATTGCCATTACATTGACTATGATGGTAAAACCTTTGGAAAAGCAAACGCTGTGCTTGAAATTGAGGAGTTCAGGGGTGCACGGAGAATCGATAGCCTCGGGGTTTTCCCCTTGGCATATCATGATGAGGAGGAAAAGATTCGAGAGAAGCTTATTGAGCGAGGAAGGAAGTTTTTGTCTCTTAAGGGGATGCACTACAAGTTCTATAAGGGACTAGCATTCTTCAAGAGGAAGAAGGGAGTGGTCAGGCTCAATGTGCACGGGCGTGTCATGATCGACCCCAGCACTTTTAGAAGGATCAATCCTAACTATCGGATGAGTCCCGTCAAGGAGACACTTCACTCTTCTACAAACTCTCTGGGAAACGATGATGATTCCGAAAATGAGAATGACGATGACGACGATTATTGTGGTGGAGGTCGGGATGACGACGAAGAGGCAGAGATCAACACCCCCAACAACAATGTCAAGTCGAAACCAAACCCGGAAGCAGTTCTCAAGCGTGCTCTTTTAGGAAAGCCACAAAGATCCTATATTACTGGCCCTGATGGGAAGTTAAATCTAAAATTACTTGGGGGGGTTGCCGATATGGCTGCAGCAAAGAAAAAGCTGCAGGAAAACGGCAAAGTGAATGAAAAGCAAGGACTCAAGGAAGATTTAATCCCGGAAGAAATGACAGAGGAGGAGCTGCTACTTTGCTCACCGACAGTTTTGGGATTTAGCTTTGGAGATAAATTATGGGGTCAGTTTAGTTTTCCTCGTTACGTCAAAATCTATCATACTAACTCTATATAGCGGAATTTGCGGTGGACCGTATCATGGAAATTGAGTTCAATAATGATGCATTCGACAGCCTTGTACTTCCAGAGGCACAAAAGACAATTGTAAGGGCGCTTGTGGAAAGTCACACTGGAAATAAAGACTCCAAGGTTACTTTCGACGATGTTATCAAAGGAAAGGGCAAGGGCTTGGTAGCAGTGCTACAGTAAGTTACATGTTCTATGAAAATTACTTCTAATTCTAACTCGATCTTAGTGGACGGCCTGGTGTTGGGAAAACACTGACCGCCGAAGGCATTTCGGAGTTCCTGAAAAGACCCCTGTATATGGTAAGTTATTCTTTACTAATCAAATCGCGACCAGAGACTCATACTAACGTTTTTAGGTTGGTGCTGGTGAGTTGGGTACCGATCCTCGAACCCTTGAAACTCAGCTTTCCCGGATCCTGGACATAGCACACGTTTGGGGCGCCGTCCTCTTGTTGGACGAGGCAGATGTTTTTCTTGAACGCAGATCAGTTCACGACTTACACCGGAACGCATTGGTCTCTGTTTTTCTTAGGCTGTTGGAGTATTTCCAGGGAATCTTATTCCTAACAACAAATCGTGTCGAGACTTTCGACGAAGCTTTCCAGAGCAGAATTCATATTGCGTTAAGATATAATGACCTTGACAAGAAGGCAAAGAGGGTCATTTGGAAAACATTCCTAGAAATGGTGGCGAAAGGGGAATGTTTACCAGGCGATACCCCTAGACAGATCGTCTCAAAGGAAGAGTTGGAAGGACTGGCAAGAAGACAACTGAACGGCAGACAGGTAACGATTCTCCGACAAACCAATACCCGCTACCGAGCTTCCCTAATACTGACATTATACGCGTTCACTTTGCAGATCAAGAACACTGTACGAACAGCACAAGCTCTTGCAGTTAATAAGAACGAAAACTTGTCTATGGAACATCTGAACTTGGTTCTTGCTGTGACTGAAGGGTTCGAACATGACCTAAAGGGTACCGGACAAATCGAGAGTAAGAATCACCTGATAAAAAAACGCGGCAGTGAAAAACTCACTAACAGTTACTGAATGGCAGGCATGATGTCTTATGCATGAAACTGTTTAGAGGTTGATCATAAGTGGTGAATCAGGCTCGCAAATTAGGCGAAATGCAAAAAGCCGTGTCTCAGTCAGGACGCCAGGCTCGTTTGTATTACTTTTTACTTTTTTCTTTTTTTCTTCATGCTTGTTTCACGGTTGTGGAACAATGGTGATCACTGTAGGGGTCTTTGTGTTTGTAGGTTCAACAGGAGTACGGAAATTGGGTGTTTTAAAAGACAGATAGAAAGAAAAGTTGAATTCGAGTGTTTACTCTATTCTCATTGGGTTTAGTTAGATTGTCTAATTATCAAGTATCAGATATATACTAAATAGTTAAGCGTGTGTACCTACCTGATGTTCCAAGACAACTTTTGTAGTGATTACTATTCCGTCTGCAGCTATTCCCTGTTTTCGGAGTATTTAAAGACATGTACCGTACCTGTACCGTCATGAGTAGATACTTTTGGTACTTTGTCCGCAACATCGTACCTGAGACACGCGAAGTGGCCGATTCGATAATGTTAGCAACTCGATGATGAAATCAAATGATCAGCAAATTCCCCGCTCAGGGACTTGACCGGTCTTATTAGCGTATTGATACGTGTCTGGCACGTGGTATTCAGCTCACTCGACCGCACAGTACTTGTAGCTACCATATTCTCCTAATCATAAAAGTAAGATTCCCTACCCATTTACATCCTCATCATAGGCCATACTGTCAACGTCTGACTTTTTGTCTTTGACCTTCCAGCACATTTCTCATTATGTTCGTAAACAATCTCGTCATTTTTCTCGCAGCGCTTCCAGCCATTGTAGTCTCGTCGCCAGCAGGCCTCCACGATAGCGACTACGGGAATGGCGGGAGGTATGGCTTCAAGAGCTGTAAAGATAGGGGGGTTAGGCCCGGCAAGGTTAGCTGTATCAATGTAGGGTTTCCTGTTTATCGATGCTTCCAATTCCCTATCGCTAACTCCATCTCTAGTTTGATTCAATCGAAACCAATGCCACCACGGGGATGGCAACTGTTCCAAAAGACTACACAGGGTTAACGTTCGACCCGCAATGGTCAGTCATCAACGTTACGGCTTCTAAGGGAAAACTGCCCTCTAGAAACCAACACTCCGCAGTATCTAAGCCAAATGCTCTCATTGGGTCGAAGTACAATCCTGATGACAAGGGAGACCAATCCCCGGCAAGCTTCGGTGTAAAAGATGGAACATTTGATTTATTTGGGTTCTACGTTCAACCTATGGCAAGTCCACCTCCAGGTGTGTCTGTTCATGTCGTTGGGTATCCAGCCGACGAGAAGGAGGAACCTTTTAAGTACAGAACCAGTCCATATCTTACTGGAACATACATATACTGATTTATTTAAAGGTATTCTTTGGAATTTCCTGATGGTGTGGATACGCCAATATACTTCGATACACACCGGATGGCAGGCCCAAAACTCTGGAATGGGCTGAAGAAGGCCGAAATCTGGAGTACATATGGTGACGGCATTGATTGGGAGTTCTTTGTGGATGATATCTGGATTCGGTGAGATCACTCCGAATACCCCATCCAGACATGCATAAATCTAATCATACTATAACCACAGATGGGGAAACGAGACGGAGTCTACACTCACAGCCCAGAACAACGAGGAATTGAGATAAGGCCTCTATCTGATGGACCACATGGCTTTCTTCTAAATCTTCCCAGTTCTGGTTTCGTTGTAAGGGGTATATGTACACGTCAGCTTGTTCCAACTAGCTGTTATAACTTCCTAGCTGAATATAAACGATTTGACGGCTTAGCAATGAAATTTGGCCACAGGAGCCTAGTCAGTCGTGACGTGATGGTTAAAACTGCCGTTTCACAAGTCATCACTCGATGGAATTGGTGACATTTAAAACATCAGTGACGCCATACCTGCATCATTTCCTGCACAGTACCTTCACGGAGCAGTCTCTGACAATTTCAGTCTGATACCAACTGTGTGTTGATATCAAGTCTATTGTCTTGAGCTGAAGATATTGGCAACAACTATAAAATCCCTTCTCAATCCCAGCTGGAGGACTGTGAGTGGAATACATTGGTCCAATAAGTTCATCTCTTAGGCGAAATGAACACGATGCATCAGTTGTGAATCTCGAGTGTCGTTACGTGAGCGCAACACTCAATCGTCGAATCAATGTGGCGAGTATTTCTTTTTTGCTTCCAACTGCCACAAGAACTGAAGTAAGGCGCGACAGTATTCACACTCATTCTGAGTAGCTATATGGGTGCCATAGCAGGTTTCCTATCACTTTTTGGCTCACAAGCAAGAACCTCAAACTTATAATAATCACTAAGACGTTGTCCCATCCAGTAGAAACAGATCTCAGTCCGGATTGGGTAATATACTCCCCTGGCATTGCGTTTGAGGAATCTTGGGTTACACTAACAACCTTCTAGATACCATTTGTATATCACCTCCGCCAGTAAGAACACGTTATGTATACAGAACTTGGAAGTGCTCTGTGTAGAGGACAACGTGGATACAATGATGTCAAAACCACAGTAAGCTACAAGTATCCTCAACTGAATAATACATATACATGTAACCTAGATAGCACCCATGTATGTACATACTTCTACTCTATGTAGGTACAGTTGATGATGACTTGTATACCATGTATGTACATACTACCCCTGATACGTATACACTCAGTGAGTGTACGTGTGAGCACTGAATATCGACCCAATACAAGAGAAATAAAATAGTCCGCAGCGCAGAAAAAACTAATACTCAGGCTTCTCCTTCCCGTCTTCAACAATGTCAAAGAAATAACGTCGAGGGTATCAGGCAGCTCATCGGACGTATTTTGGAATTGGTCGACCGGCAAGTACTCATTAGACCCATGGTAAATGTACGGTACTGTGGCACTCGCTTCCAGTTATCCCTTAGAACACGAGTGCGCGTCGGTGATGTATCGAGATCGATTGCCGCAGGGAATCTAATTGACGGGTCTCAATCCATAAGAAATCCTGGTAACATGGACCGTGTATTGATGGAAAAAATGGTAACTACAAAACTAATATGTTCATTTGCCAAAGGCGTTTTCAAATCGTTGGAGCAGAATTTTATCTGCAGACCTGGCTAGGCCATCCTTTCCCCCCCCGCCTTCACCAATCATCTGGTGCCTATCACACCACATTCAGCATCCATAAACCAACTTTATAATTTATCCGCTGCACATCACTTTTAAGATCATTGAACCCCGTTTCGTTGTTTTCCTGCATTGGTACAACGATGTATGTACTCGCAGCAGGTAACAAGTACCCGAAAATGCACGTCCTAATCTGCAATTTCCATTGGAGTAGAAGTCAAAAATACACCAAAAACTTGCAGCTGCATATTCGGGTACTTCATGCCTGTCGTGAGTAGTCTGTATGAACTATTAGTATTCCTGGCACGCTACGTATCATACGCAAATAGCATAGATCCTCGCCAATCGAAAATAATCAGGATGAGTGATATTCCCTGTCTGTGCCCATGGTATCGGTAAGGCTGGATGGACGCGGCATGTATGTACAGCCACTCTGCAAAAGTGTTCGTGATTCCGATTTCGGAGTGAGACATTTCTCCATGGGTAACCGTGGCGGGCCATCAAAAAAACCCCAAGAGAAGACTTTCCCAGTGATCAATGGCACCCGGAATCAATGAAGAATAAGATCAATGGTCTATCTTCTTTTATATATAGTCACGAACTATATTATATATTTTTCGTTGTTTTAAATCTCAACATTAATTAATAACATCAACGTTACGGGTGCGCCACACTGCGCACTGACATTAAAACTAAATCACGAACACTTTTGATGAGTGGCTGTACTATGTAAGTTGTTCCGAACATGACCGTACCGCCGTGGTTTTAAACTATCGGTAAACCAGAACTTGCGACCGAAACGAGAAAAAACAAAGATAATCCGATGACTGGAAAGCCGATGTCGGTGCACAGATCACCGTGCGAACTCTAATGCAACGTGATGCATGAGACGTTACTCTCTTGAGAATGTTGCTATCTAATTCGATCAGAAGGGGGATCAGAAATGAATTCGCTTCGGATCAATAATGACCAGCCAGCTGCAGTCTATCATCGCATTCTAAACAAAACACAAGTCTCCATTGACAAGACGCCTATTCCGGTTACACAGAAGCTGTGTATACCTACTACTGAGTTTCCGGGCAACGTATGCATTCCAAGCAAGTCTAACCCCCACCGACATATCGCTTCTCGGAAAATACAAGACAAAACTCAGGCATGCTCCCGATGTTTAATAGCGCCAGCAAATTGTTTATTATAAATCTTTTTCGAGAAAAGCAAGACTTCGTTTTATATTTCCACAAACTAATTATCTTGTACACAACCGATCATAATCGACAGAATCCCCAAAAATAAGAAAAGAAGTTATTCACAGTATTATTCTAGTACATTGTCTCGCCGGCTCTGATTACCATGTTTCATTTTCCGGATGTTCTTCTCTGGCTTCCCTTCTCTTGTTTTAGGGAACGATTTAAGTAATGAACTCAGTGATTTTAATTATGTAGGTTAGATCTGTACGATTATAGGTATACTGTACAAATCATAAAGTCCCTTGCATTGTTCCCCTAGCTTGGCCCCCAAACTCAACTCGCACTGACCCCAATAATGCCCCAATTGTTGTATCAAGTCTCCTTATACAGTCGAAGTTCCTAGTGCATAAACTAAAGTCGAGCGAAAGATACATGTATGTACGTATCTATCATGATCCACTACACCATCCGCGGGTAATGCATTAATGAAGACTGTACTAGTATTTTAGCCTCAGATCTTTATACGGGGACGCGATGAAGCCTAGAGAGAAGGGCAGTTCGTTATTAACAGCAATGAAGAAAATCCCGGCTCGTCCTCCTTTGGCCAGATCTAGAAATCCGGTCGGTGGGGATACTGTTAGGGTATGCATGTGTATGTACCCGCTCATCTACGCTTCACCCCTCCATCTATAAAGCCAGTAAAACGAGTCCATCTTCTCCGCCCTAGCTATAGACCAGTTCTTAACTTCATCAACGGCTGGAAGGATTCATTGTACCACCTGCATTGTTAGAAATCAGCGAGGATGGACAACGTACATTCCCACGAGTCGGCTGCTATTGCAAGCGTATCCGAACAGCATCCAGCGAGTACTTCAGTCCAGAAGACTAGAGCCGTGAACTCAACTACTACTCAGGCGTTAACGGCTGAGAAAGAAGTATGTGGAATCTTCGGTTTTTGCTTATTCTGCTTCTTCTTCTTCCTTACCCATTCTTCTTCCCCTTGACGTGGGTACGTGCTGAGTGATTGTCTGACCAATATGATCTATCGCATGATAGAGCGAGGACCCTAATCAATACCCATCAGACTATCTTAGTGAGAAATTGTAAATCTCATTGTAATTTGCGAAACGGAAATAAGAAGCTGTCGAGATGAACAACTGTGCATAATGGGAGCGACACGACCTCCCTCAACTCCAGTGTATTGCAATATGAATATGAAAACGCCGGTTCGTTTGGATTCTAAACTTGCCCCCCCCCCCCCCCCCTCTTCCCAACATTAAGTTTCCTTTATTTTATTCAATTTCTAACATCTTTTTGTAAGGCCGGAGATATCACCGGTCTAGAGAAGGAGGCAAATACCCCTTGCCAACCGATGAGGTTTGTCTTGGGAATGTTTTTAAAGTCATGGCAGTTAATTGATGGTCCGGACTCAATATGTGATATAGAAAGAGCACGATCGGTAAGTTATGTGCACGAGGTTTCTTTTTTTTGTTTTAATTTGTTTTTTTACTAATTCTCCGAAATGCAAATAAACGGCTAATTAATACCGTCCTTCCATAGTTTAGAAATAATACACCATATATATATGTTTACAAATGCTACAGGACAATCTACATCTAGATAGGGCACAGCAGATTCTAGGCATTGGTACTGGGACATGGATTTGGGCAATTGACGCTGCAAAGTTTAACTTCTATCTTTAATTGTATTTGATTTAAACTGCTATGAAACGATTACTAGAGGCGGGTTCTAACAAAAGCCCTCCCCACAGTAAATATCCATCTGCGGAAGTCATTGGGACGGACCTTAGTCCCATTCAACGATCGTGGTACGTGCTATTCCAATTACTTGCTGTTTAAAACTGGCTCAAGCACGAGCAGCCCTTGAAACTTACATCTTTATAGGGTGCCGCCAAACTGCAGGTTTGAAGTTGAGGAAGCAGAGAGTCCGTGGACGTTTTCAAGGGTATATCATTCCATACACGACCATTTCCGGGCCTATCAGGAGAAGTCTCCAGGCTTATCATCATGTTTCTTGATACGATCTTCTTGCTGTCTTCACAGGAATCATTCGATCTTATTCACTCTAGGCATCTGACGGGAGCTATATCGGACTGGAAGATCTATCTCCAGAAAATTTATGATTCGTTGAAATCAGGTGGTTGAGCCCAATTTGCTGAATATACTATGGACCTCAAATCAGATGATAACAGGTACGTGCCCTGTATTGCGTGGCGAACTCCCACTCAATCATCATTACATGTTCGTGCTTCACAAGTCATGGCCTAACATGTGTTTTGTATGCAGCTATCCACCTGATTGTGCCCTTCGGCAATATCTAAAACTTTTCCAAGAGGCAGTAACTCGGACTAGAAAACCCCTTGATGTAGCGGAGAAGCTCAAAGACAATCTGATTAGTGCTGGCTTTATTGAGGTTTCGAAGGAGGTGAAGAAACTGCCTTGGTCTCCTTGGTCCACAGACGAAAAGATGAAGGAACTGGGTCGGTATGCTTTGCTAAACCATGAGACGAGCCTTGAAGCATCCGGATCGGCACTCTTCACTTGTGAGCTAGGATTGAGCAAAGATGAGGCAATTCGTATATGCTCGAACGCGGTGGAGGAATTGAAAAATGGGGAAATACACGCCTATAACATGCAGTATGTCCAACCCATGAGCCCTCTCATACACATATATCCTCTGCCATATCATACACGTGAGCATTTCAGTGGCGACTCGTTCTAACGGTTCTTAAGTCATTTTATTATCGCTCGCAGGCCGTTGTAGCGAAAGGGGCTTTTGGTTGACAGGGCCTAGATCCTTGGATACGTTAATCATGCAAGGCATTCTTTTTTCTTTTTCTTTTCTTAGTCAAAATGATCCAGACTCACCAATTGCTGTACAAGTTTTAATCCCGGGCGTGTTTCAGTGCGAGGAATGATCATGAGGCATATCATGTCAATAGTTTGCATACCTTTCTCTGCTTAACCATTTTTGATTCTTTTGAAACTCGACTAGGTGTGGGTGATCGAACAAGTACATGGGGTTTCACATTTTTTGTGGATCAAGTTGTTTAGTTTGTCAATTTTTCAGCCAAGAACAACTAACCATAAACACCGTTTTCACCTACATCTGTTGTGATATTTGATCATATACTATCACTCGAAAGTCTTCAAGTTAGTTGGTGATGTACCATCAAACTCCACCGTTATTAAGATACTTGTACCTGCGCATTAATCAAGCCTTTGGGTTTTCTTGTAGAGATCTAGCCGCAAAGACATTCACACAAGTAGTTTGACACTGACAATCAATGGGAAAAAATGAATTGTTTTCTATCTACCGCATCGAACATGACTCAGAAAACAGAACACAAAAAAAAACATACCCCATCGTTAGCATATATCAATATCCTAGACCGGAGTGACATTACCTGCTCGTGTTATAAACGTAAGAGACTCCAACCACCATTATTAAACCTACTCGGCCAGAAATTCGAGAGAAAAACACTATAGCACTCCCAACCCCAATATCACGATCCAGCTCTCAACCGTAAATATTCATAGCCTAAAAACCGTATTTTCCCGCTCTGTGAATTAACCAAAACACGTCCTCCCCCATTCCGATTCCCTTAATCCCCAATATTAGATAGAACATATGACACCGATTTACCCTATCTATCCCCTAACTCCGACCTCTACCCCGAAACAAGGACCCCGATATGCCCATAATCACAGCTATCCCCATGATTAACCCGTTTTATCAACAACCTAGCTAGCCGGTTTGTAACGAGTGATATCTTGTGATCGGAATATGAAAATAGGTAAACCCATGAAATATGAAAAACGGTGTTTTTTCCACAAGCGCACGTAAGCTGCCTCGTGCTCAGCCTATTCGTGTATTTATTCGGCGTAGACGAAAAAAACGAAACTCGGTATGTATGTATGTAGGGAGATGAAGGCTCTAGCGTTGGCGATCGACGTTTGTTAATACTCAGGCAATTTTGGGGAAGACGTACTAGTAGTATCTGCAATTACGCCTGAGTGATCTCCACCCCGCCGCTAGCGGCTGCGGGTCGTGCGGGCAGAATCGAAATTTGTGATTTTTTTTTTTTTTTTATATTTTTTCTTGATATAAATTATATTTTTTTTGTCGCGTGGGAAATGACTGCATGTATGCAGCATGGCCAGTAGTGTATAATCCGGTGAAGAAATGTTGAGCCATTGAATTGAATTGAATTGAGTTGCGTCGGTGGGGCGTGGGTTATTTTCCTTTTCAGATCTATACACATACAGCGTTAGTGCTTATTCTGTTAGAGGTAGAGGAAGAGGCAGATGTACTGGGTGTTGCTAATTAATTAATTGAAAGTGGAGTCAGTCTTTTATACGTTCCTGCAAATCACAGTATCAAACTCGGCCTTGACATGTGGTACTGCGGGGCCGGAATCTATCACATGTCTGTCTTTGCAGAAATGCCTTTTCCTAAAATACATACGTAGCCCGTGTAGCTCCTGGTATCATCATTGCACAAGTATTGTCTATAAGAATGTAAGAAATCCTATCTAATACCCCCTCTAAAAAGTCATAAAGAAAGCAGCAGCAACAGCGGCCTTGACTACGGCAGATTCCTCATCACGCCCTCAAACGCCACCAACGCCACCGCATTCGCCGGAAACGCCCTGAGGAAGCACGGTAAAAATCCCCTAGGTACCCCATCGTCAGCCCCGGGCCCCACAGGACAAAAAGCGCACAGGGGAATATAAGCACAAACCTCCAATACCCTCTCCACCCCGCCTCCCTGTACACGCTCCTCGCCGCCTCCCGCCAATTCTTAAGCCGTCTCTGGTCCAGATCGTCCGTCATGATGCGCTGCTTGATGGCGTCACTCGGATAGCTCGTTATCCAGAACATCTGTGCGCTGAGCCCGCCGGCCCAGAAGTTTATTGCGGGCGTGGAGAGGTTCGTGTGCGTGGACAGGTAGCGCGAGAAGAGATCATAGGACCCCCACCAGAAGAAGAAGAAGGTGCGGAATAGCAGTGTTGCTGTGAGGCCGTGGTAGAGGCCGCGGAGGCCGTGGGATCCGTACTATAAATGTAGCTCTGCTGTCAGCAACAATGGCGGGGAGAGAAGGTAGGAAGGAGGAAGAGGGAAGAGGGAAGGAAGAAGGGGGGAAGACAAACCAGCTTCTTGATACAGTCAATAGGTCCCTTATACTTCATGCCCTCCCGGTTCCCGCGGGCATTATACTGCACCTGAAGTCGCGCCTTGACATGTTCCACAGGCGCAGCAATCAGACTAACCGTCCAGCCCGCCATCACGCCGGCCACGCCCTGCGCCATAGGCGGCAGGCGCTCCTGGTGCGGGTAGAAGTTGGTCTTTATCAGTGAGCGGTAGTTTGATAGCGATCCCAGCATCCTAGCTCGCCCAGCCGGTCGGTCAGCGAGCTCCGGATTGGTGGGTAGGACGGAGGAGGAGGGGGGAAAGGAACTTACAAAGAATCCATAAACATCCAGCCAACTAGTGGTGGGCTGGCGCCTTTGTAGAGGCCGCGGAAACCTTCGCGGTGGATGGTTTGGCGGAGGCAGTCGAGGGGGCCTTTGAAGTGGGTTGTGGTGGAGGTTTGGAGGCGGACTTTAATGGTGTCGAATCTATGCACTCCCGACCACTCCCGGTGTTGATTGTTAATTGCCGGAAATCATCATACACGGTAGGTCTGTACTTACGGATGCCCGACTAGTGTTCCACTCAAATCAATCAATCAGCTAGGTAAGAATTGCGAAATGCGAATTGCGAATTGAGATGGAAAGCAAAGAAAGAAATAAAAAAAAAAAAAAAAAGACAATACCAGTCAATTTCCCCACCCCCGAAAACACACCCGCCACAAAGCCTCTATACGCCGAGTGTTGCTGTCGCTCTGCAGTCTTTGGCGGCGGTGGTGGGGCGCTCATCATAGATACCTAGGTGGGATGAAGGTAGGTGGTTCTACAGGAACAATTCCTTCACACTCACGAGCGAGGAGGGGTCGTGGGGAAAGTTTGGAGCAGACTTGATAACTATTTGGTGGCTTGGCTGGCGGTTGTTGAACCCTGGCTTGACTTCGGCATGTTCCGCGGAAGCCTAGCTACATAACGCTAGGTAAGCCAGTAGATACCATGTATCTACAGCTGCAGTCCAATCATATCATGGCAACTCGAAAGCTCGAGAGCTCGAAAGCTTGTCCACCCCGCAAGGTTCTAGCTATGGTTGGAACATATCATTCCTCGCAAGTGTGAGGCGATATTCGTATCTTCGACCCTGTGGGGATGGATGTGTTATGTAACTTTTGAAATGTTTAATTTGGTCAACCACCTCGATCATCAGTCTTGGCGTTTTCATATCCAAAATACTGAAATAACACCCATCATGAGCTCAATTCCTGTCCAAAAAGCAAGAGGTTCAAGCCAAAGCGGGAATCAAACACTTCGTATAAACACATGGATAAAACCTTTCAGGTGTATCCTGTGAATTGAAACCCGACACCTTTCTGGCGTGGCCAGGGCACAAATATTCGGAACCCCAGAAACCCGCAATCCACTGTGAACCCGTTCGAGAATGTGTTCCAAACGCCGATTAGTTTCCTTTAGAGGTCAATTTACTGCTAGAAGAGGGATATCATGCTGTGTTGTAACGTCATAAGCTGTCAACGAAATTGAAAGTCAGTGGTGCTTCATTGTTACGTCATGTCAAGGGTAAGCGGCTTGAAGATTCGCAGCATTTATATTGAGCCGAATCTCGACCTGAGATGAAACATTCCTTTGAGTTTTACAATCAGAAAAAACTACTTTGAACCTATCACAACTTTCTTCTTACTATTAGCTTAAATCTTTAAAGACAACTTCCCAATATGACTGACCAAACATTCCACGTAACCAGAGAAGACATCCGCAAGCTCGAGGCCCGCGAGTCCCGCCGCTATCACGGCCAAATCCCCGCTGATGCCGACTCTTCAATCCTCAAAGTAAGCACACCCTCAACTTATCCCCCAATCCCCCACCCTCAACAATACTAACCCACCCCCACCCAGTCCATCGTCGATCAAAACAAGAACCGTTCCAAAGACCCCCAAGCCAACCTCGAACTCCCCGACGACCCACCCGTCCCCGGCGACATGAAGTCTGCCGACGCACGCTACAGCGGCGGCGGTATAGGGTCCGGCCGCTTCTCGGGAGACCTGTCGACGGAGAAAGATGGGCTGCGGGAGCCGGCGGCGCAGCAGAGTGGCGTGAGGGTCGATGGAGAGAAGTTGCATAAGGGAACTATGTATGGGCACCTATATAAATCCTCAAGCAAGGGATAAATAAATTTGTGTGCGGCGGCGTATTAACTAATTTGTTTTGTTGCAGTTTGGAGCCTAAGTATTCGTAGACTGCTGTTTTTGTGTGGATTGGTGTTTTGTTGGGTTGGTTCTGTGGGTATGGTTTTTGTTGCCAGTGTTACCAGTGCATGTTGGGAAGCGGGAAGTGGGAATAGTCAGAGGGTTGACGTTGTTCCATATCAAGTTAAAATCATGCATATGCCCGGAGGCGGTCTCATGGAAACTGTTTCTTAAACACCCATCTTGTGCCTGTATATTGTCATGAAGTTCGAAGTGAAGAGCAATATATTCCAAATACCACATGTCCTAGATGAGCCATTTGTTCAGGTTCTTAGTGTTTTAGTTCAAGTTCATCCAATATCGTAAATCTAGCCAGCCAACACTACGGACGAGTGATAATCCATGCCTAACTCTACAACACCACCGCCCATCCCACCTACTACCAAACCAAAGCTCTCTTCATCAAGCAACACGGCATTTATAGAATATCAATAACAGCATGTAGTGACGGGACGAGCGAGTGATAATTCATGGCTAGCTTCACCAGTATCACCGACTACTTGACTGGGGCAGGGTATCCGGCCAGGAATCAGAAATATCTCCAGTGGTTACCTCCCCCCACACGCCTCTCAAATACCTTGAAATGGATCTTTAATATGGCAACTGGAAGCTCTCTATTGCTTTTCGCAGCTAAGTGAATGCGTGGAGTAGGTGCCTATGTTAACAACATCGCCGATACTAGTCTCGATCTCGCTCCCAGACCCATTCGGTATTTTTCTTTCTTTGGTGGTGTTGACTACAATATACGCAACCGCCACATAACCGTAAAACACCGTAGGGTCTAGTAACGAGACTACACCAAAACGATTCTATGGAGATTGAGTGTCCAGAGAAAGGGGTTAATTGGCTGGCCCGTGTGGAAAAGAAGTTGAACCCAGCTAGCTGTGTTATCTCGGGATAGGAAGTATATTTCCCGTAAATGCGTCCGACTTGAAAGGAGGTGAGAGGGGCAGTACTACGTCCGAGTGTTTTGTTTACTACTCAGGGTTGGCCAATGTGAATGTTGAAGCTTGGTCGAAGCTGCGCTATAAGCAAGGCTTTCTACTGACGTTAGCCATAATTCACATGCATAATTAACTTCTGAAATAGCTGCAGATATTGGCCTATATCATTAAATTGAGCTTACAGTGCGGCGGAATAGTCGATATTGGCCGATTATGTCCTTCCGGAAATGGTGGCCACCGAGAGGGTTCGACAGTGGTCCTATTTTGACCTTCGTAGGTTCTAGATAGTTCTCCCGGTCGTTCTATGCACATAGTTAGTCGATATGTAGGATTTTCATTTTGATCTCAGACTGACCTCCGCCCAGAAGGGTGTTGAATTGGGTTCTTATATTGGCAATAATGCGGGGAGGGCGCTGGCATGAGACATGTAATGCGTAAGGACATATAAGTATAGGTAGTGGATATCATCACGGAATCTATCAACCTTATCGTGCTGTTAACAACGGATCGGGCATATGTAGTTGTCATTGTCGGTTAACTTGTACAGTTTTGACGTTGTTCTAAACGGGTTGAAGAACACCTGTTCTTAGTGCCATTAGTATAAGAGAATCTTACTCGGCCTTCTTCCACTCCCTGTCTGCTCTTTTATATCTCTCCACTACCCAGATGTGCAATGTCTTGGTCTACCCAAAAGGTTGTGACCAGATCAATCACCCAGTCCAGCCCAAATATCGATTGATCTATATCATGGCAGCCACCGCGGGCGAGTGATAGTTCATGCAAATACCCGCACCCAGCGAGAAAATGTCCCCGCAAATAGTACCAAGGAGGTCGCCTATCGATCAATGTACCTGCCAAGCACTAAATTTACTTATGAGGAAGGTTTACCGAACAAAAACAAGCAAACAGAGAACACCGCCCCAAAACACAAACACTGGTAGATCTCCCCACACCCGACCCTCACTCCCCCGAAACACAAACCCTCATTTCATTAATTCCAACAGTGTTCCATTTCAGATTACGCCACGGCGACACTGGGGTCCTCCCCACAATCAAGCAAACAAGAAAAAAAAGCAACTCAGGCACGCAAGCGCCTAGAGAGATTCGCTAATCTAACCTCACACCCCACCCCACCACTAAGAAGACAATATAGTGAGGCTGTGTTTGATGAAAACACCGTCTCGTCGGTGGGGTTGTCCTTTATCACTTTGTCAAGGATTCCATCTCACCTCTCGAGTCCAATGACGAATAGCCTCCTCGCCTAGCAAAGAAGAAGACGAACACTGGGACACAACACAAGTCCTCGCCAAGTATAGAAACATCCAAATAAACAAGTGTGACCGCAGTATGAAACAGAAGAATCAAGTCCACCCAGACTTCCACCACATCAAGGCCTTCCGCCACTATCCCTCCAAAGCACCCAACATACACCCATCACCCCCGGAGCGGTCTAGCCTCCGGGCTACATACACGAATGAATCATCAATCAATCAATCAATCACCCCCGGAACGGTCGGTTCCACCACAAATTCATGAAGCGCAGGTGAGTGATAATCCATGACACAAAAAGCAGCCCGCCTAGGGCAAGCGAACCCTTTTGCTCTTCTTGCGGACTTTCCCGCTTAGATCTTGGGTTATGTAATGACTTTTTTTCTTTAGCTCTTTTTCTACCTATTCTAGATACTACTCGAGACATCAATTTAGAGGCTGGATCTATGACCTCCTTCCTTTCTTCCTCAGGCCACCTGGGTAGAGTAGAATAGAGGATAGCCTACCGACGCTTCAGCCCTAAATCCATCATTACTAAGACACCTTACCAATACCATGGTCTTATCATAGAGCACACGATTGCTAACATAATTGTTAGCGAGTGATATTCCATGACCCACCGCCCCCCTCTTCACCTCGCGCTCGCTTACAGTCCTAGGCGGTTCAAGTCTTCAAGGAACTGCAGAAACTGCATAAGGTAATGCAAAGCCCGCCCGCCCAAATATCAATCGCTAGCTAGCACTCTATCGGTTGAGAATCAGACTTGGACTTATGCACTGGCAAGGAGCGTACATAATGCTAACCAACACTCTGCATCTACCTACCCCAAGACGAGAATAATCGCCGCCGCCACGCTGACGATCCGTACATACACTGCAGCTGGTATGGTAGCGTAGAGTACTACTACTCCACTTTCATTCGTGGACATACATATCAAAACCCTCAAGAATCAAAAAAAGAAAAAGGCACACAGGACCGTTTTCCAGCTATTTGTACTCTAGCCGCGGTTAGTAGAACGGTAGCTGGTACTCTACTCAGACCCACGCGTCAAAGAGTCATTATTACTCTGCTGCATCCCTGCCAAGCTTAGGATCTCCCTCCCTCATCGCACATCGCATCACTCGTTTGAATTCTTTCAGAGCGTACTCAATGTCGGCAAGTACAACCCAGCCAGCATTGAGTAGAGTAAGGGTCATTCATCTATCGATCGGTACATCGCGAGGGTGCTTATGGCATAAACCGAGCAAGCATAAAGACACTCCACTCTAGAAGGGAAGAATAGAGTACCACCGTCCGATAGACACGTCCGTGCTTCCTTCGGGGGAACACGCACGGTACCCTACCCATTGCCCTACCCAGACTGACCGACCGAAGCAACCATCTAACGGTTCACGGCTCACACCCACCCCCTCCCTCCCCCTCGCTTGAGCGCGCATCCAATCACGCAACCTGATACATCCACGATCCACCCCATTGAACGAGGTAGTCGCACGCGGCGGCGGATAGAGAAGATCCCAATGAACGAGAGCGGTGAGGAGGAGGGGGTCTTGTTGCGGTGTGGTGTGGGGTAGGTGCTCTGCTGGATATGGGTTTTCTGAGTTGGGGCATGATAGAAACGGTGGCCCAAGACGACACTGGCTCCCCATCCGAACGGTATCTACCCTACCAAGCTCCCAAGGCGGAACGTCCACCGCACGTGTTCGAACTAGAGCCGTACTCATTCCCCGTGGCTCTAAAAGAACTCTCCTCCTCCGCCATCCATTGGTTCCAGCACGCCCATGGTAAACATTCCAATGCAAATTTACCAGAGAGAAGGGAATGCTCTCATACGGTCTACCTATGGGCCATGTGAGGAGTACATGATACATGATACATGTGAGATGGAGTACATAATGTACCCTGAGCACATGCATAGGTCCGTCTCGCACGCGTATGTACTCTACGCGTAGGGCACCTATATTGCATGTAAGAAGACTCGTAGAGGTGCCCCTTAGAGTAGGTAGAAACCGTAGGGACTCTACATGTGGCCATTATATGGAGAAACGGTTCAAACCCAGGGGGGAACCATCGCCCCGATCGATATCGATACTCTAAAGTACTATTTCTCGCGCGCTGTTTGGACCAGTGCTTCTCACCAGATCCTTCATCTCATTCCACTTACTTCTGTTTCTGTTTCGCGTTAGCAAAAATGACGCAGGGACCAGCCAACGAAACGGGAATGCTTCGAGAAACACTGGTTTCGTTTTAGCGCTAGGGTCGGATGTGGAAGGCGATAAGGTTTGCGGTTTCGTTGGTGGTGCGCAAAAAGGAAGAAGGATGAGCTGAGATTTCGACGGCAGATTTTTCTTGCATTCGAGGCAGACAGATATCTCGCATTGCCACGATTAAGGAAGGATACGATGGGATGAGATGGATGGGATCGGTTCTAGAGTATGAGGCATGTATCAGGCGGCTGCGCAGAGCTGGGTAGAGTATCTATTCGCTCGTATTTGCACTCTGATGCATTCATACTCTAGCTACAGTATTGTACCTACTCTAGCTTACCGTATGTAGCTGTACACATGCAGATCTACAGTAGGTACTCACTCTACCCACGCCACCGTACAACCTCTACCTACCGGCAACCGACCGATACTCTATCGCCTCTACGCCAGTCTCTATTCAGGGTAAGGTATCCACCATCCAATCTTTCCCCGCGTCTCGGCGATCCCACTACCTCCACTCCGTCCCTTCTCCGCCTGGCTAATTAACTAAACCCTTTTGCTCAATCCCTCTAGAGCTAGTACAACTCCCCCCGCTTTGGGGCGTGGGAAATCTCAATCTTAATCTTGTGCCTCTACCGTCCACAGTCTGGAGACAGCGAGATGGGCGCGCGGGAAAAAATAGAAAGTGTAGATTCAGATATAGATACACGAGATGCTTATGTAGCTTATGTAGCTTATGTAACGTGCGCGCGCGTCCTCAACCACTGATGTGCGTGTGTGGAGGAGCTAGGTGCCATACATACATACACACATACCTGCCTGAGTACCAAGAGGCGGGGGAAGGGGGGAGGGGAGGTGTTCGGGGTGCAAAAGCCCGCTGCTACAGCTAATTTGAGCATGGAGCGAATGGTGGTTGTTGCAGCAGGGTGAGGGGGGTGTCCGGGGGTGCCCGCGGGTAAGTGCAGACCACACATCAAGGACTGTATGGAGGGAGGGTAGAGTGCTGTATGTAGGAGGTACATACATGTATGTACTGGGTGCAGGAGTACCTTCATGTAGGGAGGAGGGCACTCTTGCGCGCTCTCTTGATACTCACGCATCCTGGGAGCAGGTGCCTTTCATCTGGTCGGTCTTGGGGGTTCCTTGTTGTCCTGTGACTTTTTTCGCTTGAAGTGTTGAGTTTTTGTTATCATACCCCCCCCCCCCCAAAGGTCCCATGGGCCAACCACCAACCAACAGGACAGAACATCCATGCGATCCAGTGATTGATTGATTGTATGTGTGAGTGAGTGTGAGTGAGTGTGAGCGAGTAATTGAGTGAACGACTAATTGAGCGAGTGTGAGTGTGAGTGTGAGTGAATGATTGATTGAGTGAATGACTGTAGAGAATATTCCAAAAACAAAAGTCATCCCCCCCATCGGTTGCAGTTCCAGTCCAGTCAGTAGATCCGGTTTAGGTAGGGCACTGTATTACGGGGTCCCGGGGGTTTGGGGGGGGGGGGGGGGGTGGGTTTGCGAATTTATTCTTTTATTTTTTCCCATTTTTTTTTTTGCTTTCCTCCCTGTTCCTGCGTACGGGCATGTCTCAGTAGGAATAGAGTAGAGTATGTAGGTAGATGGATGTATGGATGTGATGTGATGTGATGAGAGGAGAGGGGGGGGGGGGGGGCGTTCCGTTATCATCATATCAGGGGAGGTGAGAGTGAGAGCGCCGCAGATAGATGGTGTTTATTCTAGATTGTTCTGTTGTGGTGTTTGTTGGTAGGGGCTGTGTTTGGCGTAGGTGGCTGGAGCTGCCGGTGTTTATTTGTTTACAGGACGGAAGCTGATTCGGCGGCGGATTGAATTGAAGGTCAGGCCAGGTTCGTTGTTGTGTATTTGTATTTGTGGTTGCGGCCAGAGGAGGGAAGGAGAGGTTCGAAAGAGCTTGGGATTGGGATGGATGGATGTGGATGGATGGATGGATGGATGCGTGGGTGCTGAATTAAAGTGAATTGCCGGGGCTGTACGGTTGTTTATACTCTACGCTCTACGTATGTAGGTACATATTGTAGGTACTGTAACGACTACTCCTGCCCGACTGACTGGAGGACGGATTGGCAGCTGCAGATATTACATTGGTGGAACTTCTGACGTTCGTTTCTTTCTCTTTGAACACTTTGCTTCTTTGGTTGAAATTCCTTGGGTCTCAACAGAACGGAACGGGCGGTGTTTTATTCCATTGTGCATTGGACCATAGCTGTTCTACGAGACAGACAGACAGACAGACAGACAGACAGACTCCTTCCTGCTGCTAGCTGCTAGCTGCTAGCTGCTAGCTGCTCTGCCTCTTTTCGCGCGGACTGCTGTACCTACCTAACCTACATACAATACTTTTACTTACATATCATATCTACTACCTCTCTTTCTCTAACTCACAAATACTCTATCCTATCTATCTACTTACGTACCGAGCAACCAAAGCAAAGCAAAGCAAAGGCAGGCGGCCATCCCACTCGCTCTCGCCCATTCTGCTTGCTTCTCACCTGCCAGATACAAATCAAATACCTAGAGTAGATTCTACGTACGGCGGCCCCGTCGCTATCCAAATCAGAATCATACCTACCTATCGGCCACACACAAAAGTCACTCTGCCCTGTCCTCATGTCCTGCTGATTGAACTGTCCAATCCAATCCTCACTCCTCACACACTACTGCTGCTTGCTGCCATCATCACACATCACGTCAAGTCTACCACCCCCCGTCCCCCCCCCTCCACTTCCCCTTCAACTTGACTGGAAAGGAGAGGTTTCCAGACGGTAGTTTTTATTCCCTGGACAGCTGCGAAACTACATACCCACTACCTACCCACTACATACCTACTACCTCTGTCACTCCGCCCCTCCACCCCCCCCCCCCCCTTTCACGCCTACTTGCAAAGTTGCACGAGTCAATCACACACACACACATCCATACATACACCCACACACTCACACACACACGCCCCACAGCCAGGCCAGGCCAGGGCTATATTTTTTTTTTTTTTTTCTTCTTCCCACACTCTCGCTCTTCCTGGAAAAGGGAAAAAAGGGTCGAAAAGGCAAAAAAGAAAGGAAAGAAAAGGAAAAAAAAAAAAAAAGGAAAAAAAAAAAAAAAGATCATACTCTAAATCCTGTACCTGCTACTCTACCTTACTTGCCTGCCTACCTATCTTCGTTTGCAAGTTCAGCTGCTGTGAGATCATCGCATTTCACATTCCCGCCCCCCGTACCGTCGACAAGGTAGTTTGGCTGTCGAGTTTCTGTAACTCTCCGTTTCCGTTCGCAATCAATGCCGCACTCTACTACATTCCCTGGTGGCTGCTGCTCTGCCGAAGAGAAGCAGAAACAGCAGGAGCAGGAGCAGGAGCAGGAGCAGCAGCAGCAGCAGCAGCAGCAGCACCAGCAGGACACACAACAACAGCCACACCAGCAAGAGGAGCAACCACAACCAGAGGAGGTGCAACAGCAACCGCAACAGCAACCCCAACCACAACCACAACCACAACCACAACCACAACCACAACCACAACCACAACCACAACCACAACCACAACCACAACCACAACCACAACCTTTATCACACCCGGGGTCCCCCACACCCTCTTCCTACTCCTCTTCCTCTTCCACCTCCTCACCGTCAACCTCCTCGACATCCTCACCTGTGCTGCGTCCGTCTTCACCAGCAACAGCAATAATATCTACACTACTTACAATACCCACAATACCTAGTGCAATACCTACGACACCTACAACACCCACAACACCTTCTACCACCACTCCACCCCCAACAGCAGTCCCAATGACAGCCTTCGCGCCGCTCTCGTCGTCGCACGCTCATCAATCCCCCTTCTTCAAGCTCTCCACCTTCCCATCACCCACCACCACCAAGCGCTCCCTCCCCTCAAAACACATGCGCTCAAAGTCCACAAACACACCCACCAACCCGCCCGCCCCCCACCCATTCGGCACCCTCCCCCCCTCCTTCTCCACCTCGCGCCACCACGCTGCGCCCCCCCTCCTCCGCTCCAGCTCCCTCCCGCCCGTCGGCTCCTTCGCAGAGCTCTCCGCCACCTCCCGCTTCACACTCACAAACTGCCCGCCGTCGCCCATCTCCCCGCGCACCCGCGTCCCGCGCTCAAACTCGCCGACCCGCCAATGGGCATACTCGCAGTCGCCGCGCGGCGGCAGCGCCTACCACTCCGGCTCGGGCTTCGCAGCACACTCGCCGCCGCCCCCGCCGCCGCCGCCATCGTACCTGGTCAATGAGCCGTACGTGGCGAGCTCGTCGTCGGGGTCGTCGACGCCGACGTCGGTGCGCTCGCGGTCGCCGTCCATCTCGTCGCTCGAGACAATACCGGACTCGCCGGACGCGGAGGCCGAGGCGCTGGAGGCGGAGGCGGAGATGAAAAAGGTGGCGGCGGCGGCGGTCGTGGTGGTTGTGGAGGAGGAGGGCGCGGGCAGGAGGGGCGGCAGGAGGACGGCGGCCGCCGATAAGAGGAAGAGGTGGAGCGTGTGTGGCGGGGAGAAGAGGGGCGACTTGGAGCTCGAGACGATATGGGAGGATGGTGCGGACGCGCTGGGTATCAGTGTGGGTGATGGCATGGGCAGGGGGGAGATGATTTAGCCCGTTTTTTTCTTTCTTATTATATAGTCTTTCTTTTTTTTTTTTTTTTTTTGCTTACTCGTGCTCTGCTGGTTCTTGCTTGCTTGCGTTGGGAATTAACGGGCGCTGGTGATTCTTCTTTTTCTCTGTTTTTTCTACTTGTGTGGCTTTTTTTGCTCTGTGTGCTCTTCTTGCTGTCGCTTATGATACCCACCCCCCCATATTCGCTCTGTAGGTCCTTTTTATATCCTTTTTCTTTTATCACCATTATAGTAGTAACTAAGTAAAGTAGGCTGGAAGAAGAAGAAGAAGAAGAAGGGCGGTGGAAATAGTAGTGGTCTTCTGTTTCCCGTATTTTGTTCTTTATTTTTTACTTTTTTTGCTGCTTTGTGCCACATTGCGCTTTCGTCTGATGTTTGCATGAGGGGCTTGCTTAGTGGTGGAATGGCATGGCATGGAATGGGATGGAATGGAATGGAATGGAATGGGACGGGAGTGGATGAGTGGATGGGAGGGGATGAGATGAAAGCGGATGAGGAGATGAGATACCCAGGTGGTTTGATGCGGATTGGATTCGGTTGGATTCGATTGGGTTTCTGTGGAGTGCGGGTTGGATATGATATCGTGGAGGGGGTGGGGTGCTGCCTACTACTACTGCTACTACTACTACTACTACTACTACCACCACTACTACTACTACTATTGACACTACTACTACTACTATTGACACTACTACTACTACTACTACTACTACTACTACCAACACTAGCAACTACTAACTGGCACTAACACACACCCGCACACACTAGCACTACCACTACGCGGCGATTGACAGATTGATTGTATTTGTTCTTCTTTTCTTCTATATCTATATTTTTTTTCTTCTTCGCTTCTATCCATTCGTTTTTGTGTGTTGTTTTTTTTTTTACTTATCTTTGTTACATGTTTTTTTTATCGGAGCATTGGGGGTATGGCCTTTTTTTTCTTTTCTTGTTTATGAAGTAATTTGGTAACTTGTTAGCATGGCATTCGTTTTTTCTGTGGTTTACATGATGGATGGTTTTTATTTAGATGATGTGGTATGGCGCGGGCGGCGGCAGCGGCGGCGATTGTAGGGGGAGGGAATCATGGAGATGATCTAAGCTTAAGGCGGGGGAGGCCCGTAGTGAATTCGTTAGTCAGTGAGCGAGTGAATCGGGGGGATCAAAAATTGTATTTTTATTTTATTTCTCGTTTCTTTTCCTTTCGAGTATGTACTCCAGCTAGTTTAGTTTTTTGCAAAAAGAGAAATGGGAGGATCTAGTTAGCCGTCACACTTGCTCTGTCACATTTGGTGAAATGTGAGGCTGCTCCATACCAAAAACCAAAAACCTGGAAATTGGAACCTCGATCTGTCGCCCTCGCGGAGGGAGGATCTGCATACATGTACATAGAGTACCTACACCCGTACCGCCCGTCCCAAAAAGAAACCTGAAAAGAAGCGTCCGCGGAGTCGGGCAAATCAGACGTCTTACCGTTAGTAGAACTGTCAGTTTTCCAGGTTTTTTTTACAATCGGGTTTGGTCTTACGTATATAGTGTATGCAGATTGAAGCTTTGAGAGCAGAAGGGGAGACTCTCTCTACTTTCCCTTCTTTACGCAGGGACTGATCGCCGCTGTTGACGTCAGGTGCGGGTTTTATTGTTGGTTGCGTTGTGTTGGATATTGCATGTGAGCGAGGCCGGGTGATGGATGAGGCTTTTCGACATGTCTAAATATAAGCGTGTCGTCGAGATTTTGAAGGTTTTCTCGCGTGCGCGCCGGAGTGAGGTCATGGAGTGTCACTCGCCAAGCGGATGAAGCTGGATGGCGACGGGTTGATGCGGGAACTTGTTTATATGGTCAGAAGGCCGCATTGGCTGGCTGGCTGGCTGGCTCTCCGTCTACGATCTAAGGAAACAATCTGATAAGACCACGTTTGTGACCCACCTACTTGAGCATGTGCCAGAAGGTAGGTAGAAAAGCAGCTGACAACCGTCATGATAAGCGAAATGCCCGTCTGACTCCCAGCCAGCCTAAGCGAATGACCGAAACCCGGGTCTGGAGGTAAACAAACAACGTGACACCACTGAGGCTGTGTAGCCTTTAGACATGAGCTATCACTCGGTTTAGCCTGCGATAAGTTAGAACCCTTGCGCGGAATCTGGAAACAACATCCAAATCTCATACTTTACTCACCAACCAACAGGATGAAGAAACCTTCCGCCGCCATAGATGGGGGTGGAAAACTACCCCGTGACGATTATTTGAAATCATATAATATCACTCGGTATCAGTCCCCAGGCTGGTGGTGATCTATGTCTCTCTATCTGAGGCCTGTATCGGTCTCGGGGAGATAGATCAGGCTCTGCTACTCTATTACTCGGATGACGAAGGATGGAATTGATGATGATTGGATTAAGTGGGTTGTCGCAGCTTAACTTTAAATTGGGTCTCCAAACTAACACATATGTTTAACTGATTACAGCCACCTAGCTGCTGTAACGTGTTTTAACACCTAGTCGGCTAATCTGCCCCACATCTTCTTGCTTTCTTGGCGGTGTTGGGTGTTAGAGAAGACAGATACCGGCTGAGGTGTTGATATCCCATGCGCCTCCCCGCATGAATATCGACACTGTACTGCTAATACAAGAACCCCCTTGCGCGCCCTCTGGCGGGATATTATTAATGTCAGTCTGAACCCAGGACTCAGATCCTACACATCGACTAGCTACCACCTAGAAGGACCGGGCTAATTAACTATCCAGCACTTACCAAGGCCGAAATAGGGCCACTGCCGAACCTTCACGGTGGTCACCATTACCGCAAGCCAATAATTATACCGTAAGCCCAATTTCCAGATATATTCAAACCATCGTCAGAAGTTATGCATGCTGATTATGACTAACACCAGTAGAATGTCTTGTATTGCGATTTCAGTATTTACACTGGGTAGCGAATAAAAGCCTAGACGTAGTACTGGCTTTCTCGCCGGCCCTTCAAGTCGGGTGCGTTCGCGGGAAACATATATCCCATCCGGATATAACCAGCTGAAAAAACCACCCCGCGTCTATTTCAGACGGGCCAGGCCGGCTGGCTAGTTAACTACCCCCCCCCCCCCCCCCCCGGGGGGGACACCCCATCTCCGTAGAAGTTTTTCGGTAGTCTTGTTACCAAACCCTACGGTGTTTTGTGGTTATGGGTAATTTATACTTTGAGATGGTTGGGTATATTGCAGTCAACACTGGTACCAGTAGGATCTGGTGCAATAACTTTCTAAAAACTCCGGACTGACCTTTTTTTTTTTTATGGTAACTGGTGTTTTGACCTAGCAATTAGAGTTTCTGGCATAGCAACCAGACCGAAAGAGAGGGCCGGTACAAGCTTTTTGGGTAAGTACACGTGCACCAGGCCAAGCTCTATCCCAACGCCTAGGTATTCGACGGGCGGGTGGGTGGGGAACCGCTGGAGATATTCCTGATTCCTGGATGTCCTGCATGCCCTAGTCAAGAGCTTTTTTCGTCTCTCTTGTCCACGAACTATAACAGAACCCATATCTGCACTAGGCTTGGTTGGGGATCTTGGAACTGGAATTGGTCGTATGGCTGGCAGACGTACAGAGTTGACTACCGCACGAGCTTGATAGAAGTAGGAGATGCACGATGCTGTATAGTTATCTCCACACGGTGGTTCAGCATACAGTGAATGTGGGCGGGGTAGGAGCGCTTCTTGAGTATATGTAGCAGCGAAGGGAGACTGTCGGCCATCACTGTTCACCTAACTCAAGCCTAAGGGTTTCCGTGCGCTGGAGTAGCTGTTAGGCGGATGTACAGATACACCTACCCCAGCCTGCCCCACCCTCATTTCTACATTCCTTCGGGAAGCGAATAGTGTTAGTACTTGAGTATGAGGTGAGTGAGGCCCTGCACCGTGTTGGTCGATGCGTAGGTAACATGGTCATCGACCCGTCGCCGCCTACTATCATCGAGATGCTGTATTGTGTTACTTTTGGTTTGGCAGCAGGTGAGATGGGCGGTGGTGTTGGTGGAGTCAGGCATAGATTCTCACTCGTCCGTAACTCGCTTTCATTGTGGAGACTCAAGACCCAAAAACTCGGTTTTGGCGGGCACTCCCTTCCCGCCAGTTGCGTTATGCCAGATTGTCGGCTGTAGAAGAAGAGCGGGGATGATGTGATATCCGCCCTAGAATTGTATATATGTGTATCTAGTTGTGAACCTTCTTTATGCCAAGGACCCTCGATACTCGGGTATACCTACTTACGTAGCTACATGGGTACATGTAGTTAAAACCTTCTATCCACCGCTACAGGGGGGCCAAATCAACTCCAACGCCGTAATGAAAAGATCAGGCCACGAAGCTACGGTTGAATCTGACCAGAGCCGTAGCTGTGCTAGCTTATGACGACTTTTGTGGGTCACGTAGATTCAGATCAGATCAGATCAGATCAGATTAGTTTTGCGGGTCGTGCCGACGGGTGCTGTGCTGTGCTGTGCTGTTCTAGAATCCCTGAGGAACGGGGCTGGAAGAATTGGGCGGTCTACGGGGGTGTGGGGTATCATCAAATCGATACGTACATGTACGTATATACCTAAGATACATAGCTTCTAGAACTTTAATGTGGTACTACCTATGTACTTAGTCACAGTAGAACACACCGTCAGAATTAACCTTCTCACGATAGAAGGCCGCCTCAGCTATTACATCATGCCCCGTTCTATATACTCACGACTCTACGGTTATGGTTCCTGGTGGCATCATTTGCATATATACGCACTAGCTAGAAAGGCAGCTAGCCAGCCAGCCAGCTAGTACACTCGAAACAAAAAGGCCAGCCAGCAGCACCGTAGAGCTCTCTCTCTATCCCTCAGCCGTCCAGCTCACTACTCCCTCCATCCACAATTCCATCGACTTCTCCTACTCATCATTAATTGCATCTACCACCCTATATCATCTACCACTACCACCTACCTCTCCTACCTACCCATATATATCCTCTCATGGTGGCTCACACAAGCACCTTCTTCCTGGGCGGCGACGACCCATACATCTCCGACCACGGGGAGGAGGCACTGGAGTACTTTCCAGTACTAGTCGATGAAGACGAAGATGACTATAAAGCTCTACCGCCCGCTGCCAGACTGCTGGTGCTGGAATTGGCGGTGCTGAGGGCGCTGCCGGCGATGGAGCTGGCGCTGGAGGCGTATCGGAGGGCGTGGTGGTGGATTCGCGTGCATTGTCGTAGGTGGAGAGCTTAGACGGTGAGTTTTTTGATCGTGAGTTTGGGTTGTTGCTGTTGCGGTTGATAAGTGACGTAGTTGACGGTGTACTAGTAAGCAGTGGTTGACAGTTCTGCGCTAGGTATGGACGGACGGACAGAGCTTCCTGCGATTGCCTCGGCCCGCCCTCGCTGCTCTTAATTGATCGATTGCATAGAGGCACAATGGCGGCGGATATATACAAGCGCCGGAATATCTTTTTTTTTTCTCTTTCTTTTGCAGTCAGTCTGTTTCTGTTTGAGCCTGCACATACCTACTTTTCATGCTCTACTTCTCACCTATCACCATGTTCAGAGAGTCGCCGCGCCGGAAGCAATTCTCTTGGCAAGGCCATGTACGCCAAGAGTGTTAATGTTTAATACATACATGACCCAATGCAATTATTAGTATTCCCCAAAGAGGCAATAATGTCACCCGCAAGAGGCTTTATTAGCGGATGATCGCATGCACGCAAGCATCCAGGCTGTTTCAGAACTCTCGCTCCTTTCACACACACACACTCGGTCTCACGCGAAATAGCCAGGCCCAACGACATGTCATGGATCAATCCTGACGGACGCGGCAATATACCAATAGCGGTGATAATAACAAAATCTCTGTGCCACAAGTGCAGATCCCCCCTAACTTGCGTGTCCGTCCGAAAGAAGAGAGAGACAGGGTCCACACTAGATCTATAGAGAGAGCTCTCTTACTCCACAGAATTAAGAAGAAGACACTCCCACACTCTGTACAACTGTCCTGCCAACAACCCCCCCCCCCCCCCCCAAACCCTCGCAATGACGGACTCCAAACAGAGCTGGAGCCCCATCGAGGGCCTCCTCTCGCACAAATACAGGCGGACAATCTACCTCGCTGCACTGGCCCTCACAATCATCACGCTGCTGACCTTCTACTCGGCGCCTATCTCCTCACGGCGGACCACAACCACCACCACCACGACAAAAACCACCACTTCCTCTGGCCACAAGGGCGAATGGGACTGGGACTGGAAACGGGATGGGGAGAACCTCCTCATGACGGACGAGCAGTGCAGTGCTGCCTTCCCAGGCCTTTTCGTCGAGATTGAGCGGGCGGCGGCTACACGGAAGGGGAACAAGATCACTTTCGAGGAGCTCGATGCTATCAAACCACAGTATGGCTATGGGCGGGCAATGATCTATGACCAGCAGGTGAGTCTCCCCGCCCCCACCCCCACCTCAATGCCATACCCGTATCCATATCTAGGCCATCTCTAACATTTCCCCAGCTCTACGTAATCTCCATCGACAGCACCATCTACTCCCGCACCATGGCCACCCTCCAAGCCATCCACCGCGCAATCCTCACCTCCCCCGAGCCCCTCCCCAACATCGAATTCACCTTCGTCGTCAACGACAAGATCGACCCGACCACCACCTGGGCACTCACCCGCCGCGCCTCCGACACCTCCATCTGGCTCATGCCCGACTTCGGCTACTACAGCTGGCCCGAGACCAAGGTCGGCACCTACGGCGAAGTGCAGCGCAAGATCCTCGCCGCCGAACACACCTCGCCCTGGTCCTCCAAGAAGTCACAACTCGTCTGGCGCGGCGCCCCCATGACCGAGCACAACATCCGGCAGCACCTCGTCGACGCCACGGCCGGCAAGCCCTGGGCCGACGTCAAGTACCTCGACTGGGGCGACAAGGCCGCGCTGCAGCACGACCTCCTCACCATGCCCGAGCACTGCGGGTACAAGTTCGTCGCGCACACCGAGGGCGCGTCGTACTCTGGCCGGCTCAAGTATCTGCAGAACTGCCGGAGCGTGGTGATCGCGCACAGTCTGAAGTGGATCCAGCACCACCACCCGCTGCTCGTGGCGTCGGGGCCCGAGCAGAACTTTGTGGAGGTGGACGACGAGTTCCGGGGGCTGGAGAAGGCGATGAAGGGGCTGCTGGCGGACGATGCGCGCGCGGAGCGGATCGCGGGGAATGCGGTGAGGGTGTTTAGGGAGCGGTATTTGACGGGTGCGGCGGAGGTGTGTTATTGGAGGAGGCTGGTGAGGGAGTGGAGGGATGTGAGTTTTGAGCCGGCGTTTTATGATGAGAGGGGGGAGTGGAGGGGGGTGCCGGCGGAGAGTTACTTTCTGATGGGGAAGGTTGAGTGGGACCCGTATTAGATCTAGATGGGGCAGGGGAGAGGAGGGGGAGGGGGGAGGGCGTTGAGGGGAGTTTTGCGTGTTTTTAGGTATTTAGTTGGTTCGAAAATGGATTCCCTTTTTTTTTTGTGCTTTGAGCTGAGCTGTGGCTGTGATGTAATTGTGATGTGATGTCTGTTTGGGTATGTAGTGGTGGCGTGGTGGTTGTGGTCAACATCGAGTGATATTATATGATGCGATAACACCACCCGCCCCCCAAAAAAAAACCGTCCATTGGTTTCGTCGAGAATAGAATAAGTTTGTACCCTCGAGGTAGTATGTTGCACATAATAACCCGCTGATGAATTCTCCATTTACCAGACAGAGTCCAATCCAGTCAAGAGCCACCACACTCAAGTCCTGACGGGACCGGGGCCGTTATATATATAGGTAGCCAGCTACTCTATATTTCAGCTATACGCATCATTCAATTCACCCGCCCGTGGAACCCAACCCCCGTTATCTGGAGAGACACGCGCCTTGATTATAAACCTCAGACTCGCGTACGCCCGCCATAAATAAACAGTGTAAAACACTGTAGGGTCGTAAGTTCAACCACTGGCACTGGCACTGGCACTGGCACTGGCACTGGTATAGCTTCTCTAGGCACATCTAGACCCTCAAGGACGTCGGCGGTTTGAACTTTGGAGAGTATGGTATGTACCAGAAGTAAACAGCGTCTTTAAGGCAGCATTAAAGCCGTCTACTTGAATTCGAAGTCCGCTGCATGCTACGGAGGTCCTTTACTTGGTAGTGGTTCGTTATAATGGTTATTAATGTGGTGTTTGAGAGCTTAAACATTGACGGAAACAATTAAAAGTTATCAATCAATTAATTTATCATTGACGGGCTTTTGGGGGGGGGGGGGGGAGGTAGAGCCTGGTGCGGGTGCCGGGCGGCGGGTGCTCGTAGGTACCGGGTCTGGGCGCAGGTGCGTGGGTGTTCGTAGGTACCGGGTGCAGGTACTCGTAGGCACCGGGCGTGCGAGCGGGTGTGCGTACGGGCCTGGGGGTAATGATGGATAGGCTGGGATTTAGGAAACCCTAGCCCCACAGCATATACTTATTTCCCCCCTCATGCCTTCTCGCCCGCGGTGCTGTTCTGCAGGAATGGCGAAATGGTGCACTGGCACCGTGGTATAATTTATATCTACAATTGTGTCTTTTGCACAGTAGAAATGTGGAAAGAACACATTAAAAGTGTGTAGGTTATTATGTAAATTAAAGCTTGCTAAAGATACATGTAGCTATAACTGTGGTAAAAGTACACAATGTAACTGTGGAAATTAATAATATATAATGTGTAAAGGACACTATAGAATTGTGTTCAAGAGATCTCTCTGAGGCTTCAAGGCGGTGATGAGTTGGGAGATCGAGAACAGGCATATGTATTGGGGAATAATAGTCCCCATCAATCATGCATTGCCTACTCATCGAGCTGGGGTAGAAACAAAGAGCTACTAGCTAGCTGCATGGTCAGTTCCTCGTGTAATGATTGAATTCGAGCCCACACGCCCCACCACAGGTACGCCTTGCTCTGCCTCGCCAGACAAAACAATGTCTTCGATTGAGAGAATGACATGGAGGCCAAATGCAGCCCGAAACACACGCTCGGGGGGAAAGACAAGCTTAATTCTAACGGTAGTAGGTAGACATAAGCATATATAGCAACTCCAGGGCAATATAGACTCAGTATTAGTAAAATCGAACGATCATTGAGGGGCAAGGCAAGAGGACGGGCGGTTTCAAGGCATTGAGCGCTAGTGTTCTGCATACATCTCTGCCTTGTGGTGGTAGATTAATCAACATTTTTTTTCTTACTCCGGCAAGCGATTACCGTGAGGTAGAAATCTCAGTGTGGATCTAGTTGTAGTTATATGCCATAGGCTGGGCGGCTACGGTTGGGGTAGGATTAGGGATGTCAATGATCACAATTCCACCATAGAAACTCAGGAACCCTAGTAACCTGCATGATATCCCCTCCCCCTCCTATACTACACCCGTGGTTTTAAGATTATATGGACTATTATACAGGCAATATCTCATAGGTTTTGACATGATTACCCGATATCATAGCTAGATCTCCTTTCAGAACAATATCATATTCGATAGAAATCTCGAAAATTATCAACAGACAGAGTATCACAGCATGAATATTATTAAAAGAACCACCACCGACCAGAGCCCAATATCAGTAGAAAATACATATAAAATCAAATATCCTCCACAAATAATTTCAATGTAACAAAACGGGAGGGAAGTGCTTCCAATTCTCGAGGTAATTCGGTTAGGGCTAGGGCTCCCATAGACCGATCAATACACCCACATCATGATAGTCTTCTCTCGCATTTACCCATGCACTAACTATAGTTGAGACATATGTATTTCTATATAATCCCACACTACAGCCAGGCATGTAGTCGCCGAAACGGCAGAACAAAAGGATGCCAATGATCCTAATCCCATCAATATATGGGCCGGGAACCCTAGCCCACATGCCCCACCCCCCACATCGCTGAGAACGCCGTGACTTGAGATTATACGGATTGTACAAGTGATACCTAATAGGCCTGCTCACGCAACATGTCCTGCAGGAGATATAGTAATATGTACGTAGTTTGAGCAGGTGTTAAGAATCGCCTATGGAGATCGAGTTTCTGCTTGGTGAGTCTGGGAGGGGTATGATTGGATCTTTTGGGGGTGTACTGTAATGAATTCTTTTTTACAAACCTTATTAATGTGAGGCTAGCTAGTGGCTCAAGTAAGTACAAGAACCAACATGTCCTGTTTGACCTTGGTCTACTATTCAGCTACTGGACACATATTGAACCACATTGTAATAATGTAGAACTAAACCACGGTGTCACAACCTGACCAGACGTACATATTTATCTGTATATGCATACAAGTAGCTAGACCCACAACTTCTAGTAAACCATCCCCGCTTGTACTCATCTAGGACGTCTCCATCGATGTTTCCCACCATGGTAGCTAGTCTCAACCCTCTCACTTTTATTTATAATTACCGACCAGGATAGAAGCCAGATGCCAATGATACAAACCCCACCACCAACCCCAGAAACCGCCTCACACCAACCAGAACCTACATACCAAAGCCGATACTTAACACCCTATGCACACCATAGCCCCTCAGCTCCTCAAAGGATAGTATACCTCAATCTCACGCCAGTCCCTACTAGCTCAGGATGTTCAGAAATGATAAGACCAGCTATATACAGGGTTAGGGTATGTATATCCACCACCAAAACCATAAGCTTAACCCTTAACCTCTTACAACTACGGCTACGACCCTAGCAGTACCGCGGTACCGTAGTGCCCAACGACACAAGTTGCGGGCCACACACCACACCACAATAGACGTCGGACCCATCACCGACCCATATATCAGTGCCAAGCACTTGAAGCCCACATACGAAGAGTCACATGGGAAAGTGGGAGTGTTATACCCCTCCGGTTATTGTGGTTGATTCGATACCAATATGTTTTAATCCAGGGCTAGGATTTCCCAACTGCCAGGCAGAGGTATGCGAGAAAATGATGATTGCTGTGACTATGTAGCATAGAGCTAAGTTTTATCTTGCTTCTTATCCCATCTACCGCGAAAAAAGAATTACGAAATGTTGGGTTGGTGGTTACTTGCGATTTCCGTCATGATGTATCACTCGGTCGACTATTCTGGTCTTGGTTGGCTCTGGACAACGTCGCTTTCTTCAACACACTGCACTGGACTTTATGTCAACTCCATCTACAACAACTCTACAGGTTCTTCGAAGGAACCAAATACTAATCGACTCAAGAGACTTTAGGAATTAGGAAGCACAATTATTTGGTTTGAAGCATTTACATTAGCGCACACGAAGTATTATTTACAGCCAGTACTATGGAGAGCATCTACCTCTCCACGTCTAAAAAAAAGCGGAGACCAGAACCATTTTTATTTGTTTTCCCCCCGTCTACTCCTCCTTAACCCCGACCTCCACCTCCGCAAAGGGCACATCCAACAGCTTCCCCCCGACCCACACCCCCTGTTCCGCAAACCCTCCAAACACCCCCTCCAGCACCCTCTCCCCCTCGTGCACCTTCCCGCCACCAACCTTCCCCTCCTCTCCCACCATTAGCTCCTCCACCTTCGGCACACTGCCCAACCTCATCCCCCTCCCGCCCTCCTCCTTCGGCACTTCCGCCGCGAAGAACTGCACCCACTCCCCAACGGTCACAATCCCCGTCGGCTTCTTCCCCTCCCCCTCCGCCCCCGGCTGCCCCACAGCATTAAACACGCTATTCTCAAACCCCTCCGCAAAGCCCCCCACATCCGCCTCCCCCTGCGGATCCAGCGACAGCAGCCCCGCCTTCGACCCCCAACCCCCGCCGCCCGACAACACCCTATGCACGCGCACCCCCGGCGCCAGGAACTCATACGCCCCCTCCGCCGGGTCCCGCGGCGTAAGGCGCGCAAACACCGACACGCCGCCCGCGTTGGCGTCCTGCGCGCCGACATACTCCGTCACGGCCTTCTCGAGCTCGCGGCTCGCGGCTCGCGCCGCGCCGTCGCCGTCGCCGTCGAGCTGCTTCAAGATGTTTCCGAGCCCCGCGGCAATCCTGCGCGGCGGCGTGAGTGCTTTCAGCGGGAGGGAGGCCTTCAAGGGGGTGTCGGCGACGCAGTCGGCCGGCAGCGTGATCTCCACGGTGCCGATCTCGTGCTCCTTGACTGGCACGACGCCGGTGCGCTGTCCGATCAGCTTCATGAGCTCTCCCATCTCGTCCCACGCCTCCTTGATATCCTGCTGTGCGTTCGCAAACTCCAGCGCATCGTTAGGGGAGAGTCCTGTTGCGGCTTCGATCTGTACTGGGATCTCCTTTACGGCCGGCGGGAGGTGCAGCAATGTCGATGCGGCGCCGTTGTGGAAGAGCGTGTTTGCGAGCGGGAGGGTGATCTTTGTGGATAGCGAGGGGAGCGAGAACGTTAATGACCGGGCGAGCTCCTTGACGGGCGGGAGCTTGATGGACAGGTCGTGGTCAGTGATGAGCCAGCTGTGGCCGGTGTCGGCGCGGGTGCCGGCGGGGGCGCCGGGGAGGGACTCGACGGCGGCGGCGAGGAGCGAGACGGTGCCGTCGTTGGTCCAGGGTTGTAGGGCGTCGGCGGTGATGTGGGTGGCGGATTTGGGCGTTGTGAGGAGGAGGATGGTTTTTGGAGGGGAGGGGAGGTCGGTGGGGGGTTGGAGATCGGGCTGTTGCGGAGCGGGGGGGGGGGTGTGTCAGTGATTTTGTTTCCCGCTTTATATATATATATAGATATGAATTGGTTTAACGGGAGCGCAGATAAAAGAGCGCAAGTAAAACAGTTTATGGTATAATTTATTGGTCTGTCAGAAAGAAAACGCTATTCTTTATCCGTTCCATAAATATGGTTACGTCTGAACAATCATTTAATATTCATCACGTCGACCAAAACCACAAAAGTTCTCAATTCACCAAACAAAAGCTCCAAAAGCAAACGCAAATGGAAAAAAAACCCACTAACCGACCTCGGGTTCAGCACCGTCCGCAGAACCACATAGCTCCGCCGCTGCCGGCCGCCGGAGAGCGCAGCACGGGCACGGGGGAGCACAAAGCCGCTGTCTGCAGCTGCATTCGAGCGCTGCAGCGCTCGAGAGGATGACGACAAAGCACGAGAGGCGCAGCAGCGAAGAGGAAGAAGGGTCGTCATCTTTTTTATCCCAGGACGCAGGACGATTGGGGGTTGCTGTGCTGAAAAGGAAATTGCGAGGGGTCGTGCGGCGGTAGTGGCGGTGGTGGTGGGTGGTGGGGTGGGCCCGGGGTGGGGAGGGAGGGTTGTTACCCGGATTGAATGAACGCAGAGTGAGTGCTTAGAAGAGAGCTTTAACTCTTCTGGATTCGATTCGGTTGTCTCGGCAACTCTGTAACTGCCCCAGGCAGGTCCCAGCAGTCGTTTGTTTCGGCAGCTGACAATCAGTCACCGGTGGCCCTCTCGCTCTCCTCTCGCTGACCAGGCTGAAGTCTTCGTTTGTCTCGCTCGTCTCGCTCGCTCAGCTGAAGCTACCTACTAGTACACCGGGGAGGGGGGGGGGGAACGATTCAGGCTGTGGGGATTGATTGGTCCGAGTAATCCAAATGTAATAAATAAAATCACCACACTGGCAATCACAATAAAACATGACATCTGCATCTTCCATTCCGCGAGATCTTCAGCAGTAGATGGCAGTGGAATAAAAACAAGATTATTGTTATAATTTATCCCGGCCGTTCGGAAAATAATATTTCACTTGTATGTGCATATCTGATATTGGTAGAGCAGTATAACACACCACCCACGGAGCCGAGGAGTCGAGAGCTCTCGAGGGCCCCGCGGGGGGGAGGGATCCAGGATAACTGTAATCGTCCCGATCTGTGCGACATCCGATGGTTCGTTTATGCGAGCTGCAGGAACCGAAAAAATTCAGTGGACAAAACAGCCGCCGTCGCCGCACACACCTCAGACATGTGCTGCAGCAGATGCACGCTCGTCCGATATTTTTTATTTCACTTCGCTTTTCTGGTTTGTTCACTTTTGGGGGGGGCATCCCTGTCGGGTGCAGTTCGGTGCCTGGATGGGATGGGATGGGATGGATGGATGGTTGAGAGCGAGTGTGGGATGGGAGAGAGAGAGCCAGCCAGCCAGCTAGCCAGCCAAACGGGATCAGGAACAGCCTGCCTGCGGCCTAGCCTAGCCTTCCCCGGGATATTTGTATGCAGGTACAGAAAACCGATCAGATGCCCTCCCTAGCTAGCCAGGCCCTGCGTGCGCTCTCTGTATGGACCGATATATAGATTTTCCGGCCGTCGTATCGCAACGGCGCAGCACTTAACTTGCAACTTGACAGCTACTCTAGATGGTTGATTTCCGACGAAGCAGTATATGATGAACCTTGACCTTGAAAGCCTTGAAGCGCAAATTTGAAGATCGAAAGGAAGGGAAGGATCCGATCGGAATTAGAACCGCGAATAATGACGTGTTCACTAATCTCGAAACCACCGAGTCCCGTCAAGAGCCAAGCGGCACCTTGCAAGCAAGCAATCAAGCAAGCTTAAGAAAAAAGACGCGCGCGACAAAAAAAAAAGAGTGGGAAAGGTTTGATTTGACTGCGCAGCTGCGCAATTTGTTCTTGCGGGCCCATCCGGCGGCCGCACGTCCCATTTGCTCTAGCTTCTAGCTTCTTCAGCCTTATGGTGGGTGGTGATCATCACCAGCGATCACTCACATATGCATAAGTATCGTCTCGTATCCAGATTCCAGAATGAGTGAGTGTGCGCCAGACGTAGAGTTATCCGGACATGTTCTCGAAAACTCGGCAGTGTCCTGTCAAACAAACAATCAAAGACATCTTCTCCAAGCCCCCCCACCCCCCCTTTTTTCTCCGTCCCAAGGAATTCGAATTTCATTTCATCTCATTCAGCTGCATCGCGCACGCGCAAGCAGGATCCGGGAAGATATTGCCCATCCCAACAGACTGACTGACTTGACTGCCAACCCAACCCAACCCAACGAGCGAGACTGAATACCATGACGCATATTTGGTATGCGTCCCCCGGGCCCGGGCCTTTCACCCAGAAGAAGAAGTAGGTGGTAGAGAAACCAAACACTCCGACTATGTATACAGTAAAACTTCGTGGTGTGTGAATTTGTTGGTGGTTACTCCATGGCCAAGAGGAACTTTCACTATATTTAACTCTAGCTCTCGGGCTTCTCCCAAAAACGTTATTCGCTCATAATAAAACCCCGACGGAGCCCGACCCGGACGCCGTAAGACCGGAGCAAGCGGCGGAGCCGCACTTGTGATTAAGATTCGAGATGATCAAGCAGAAGAAGAAACACAATTCTTCCTTCATGCAAACGCAAACGCAGACGCCACGTCAATCAATCATTCATGGCTTGACCGGGCCCAACAGAAAAATTCTTTCTGCCATCTACCATTTGGCATTTAGCATGTAAAAGTAAAAGTATGTTTAAAATGAGCTTCTCAGCCATCTCATAAACAAAATGTAAAAGTTTGATTCCATTCACCCGTATAGGCAACAAGGCTACAGAGAGGCCAATCAGAAACCGCCCCGCGGTAAGGTACAGATACAGTAGTAAAAGTAAAAAAGAACATCACAGGGTTCCCCGGCTGGTAGAGTAGCGTAACGAATCGAATAATAAGAAGCCAGGAGGCAAAGGGTGCGCAATCATAACGCCAGCCAGCCGACGAGTCACATACTCTAGAGGGATTGGTACTTTGATATACTTAGATATAGCATATGTGCTGTGCCTTTATCAATTGGATACGAGTACCAATACCTAGGAGGTTAGTAGAAGTGGAGGAGCTTCTGCGGCTGCCTGGAAAAAACCAATTTTCTAATTATGGATGTGATGTGATGTGAATTGAGAAATGCAGATGGGTCGAAATTCGATGTCATGAGTTGTCTCAGACTCAATTTCCTTTTTTTCCCTTTCTTTCTTTCCACTCTGTGGTTTGCCGTCAGGTTACGGAAAGTATGGCCGGGCCATCTGGTTTAGATGCCCATCACACATCACACAAAAACCCGATGCGTCGTGCAGCAGCTTGAGTTAGTTGTTTACTTATCTAGTAAATCAACCAGGGAAAACTTCTTGAGAAACAAAGCACAAGCACAGGCACAAGACCCATTCCCAAGTAAAAGTCAACCAGAGTTCAGTTCAGTCAAACCGCGAGTGCGCGCGCGCGCGGGCGGGCGGGACCCAGTGCAGAGGGTAAGGTCCGTTCGAACGTCAACCGTTGGAGAAGATTCAGTAAAGAAGTGCTTTAGAAGCCCTCCTCTCTTCGACGTCGCTCATGTCAAACCCACCCTCCCCCAAAGCAGTTCCCGCACCGACAACAACAACAGAGAAAAGAAAGACCAAGCCCGAAGCGGCCAGTTTCACCATGGGTAAAAAAGGGTGCTTGATCCAATCTCGGTCCCTTTGCGGAATAGATCATCGACGTGGGTTGATAGGGTAGGGGGAAAGGCCGAAGGGGGAAATTGCAAAATTACAACACACCCGCTCGCTGCTGCTGCTCTTGGTCCATGTTGTGTGCATTTCGTTCCCTGGCTGTTTTTGAACGGGGGGGAGGATGATGGTTTGGTTTCGAACAATTCCCCCCATACTTTACTCTACTTTCCCGCTTGTCATGATCGAATCTTGGATGCGAGTTGCCGAGAGAGGATAAAACCAGTTCTCTTCTCGGGAGTCGCGGATGGGGGAGCCCTCTCTACCTGCCTGCTTTTGGGTTTATTATTATTATTTGAATTTGTATTATTTTTAGCAGATATAGCCGCTGCGAGAAAAATAATTGCCCCTCTGCCACCGCCAGCTAGGTATGCACGATCAAGGATTATTCACTTCGGACCTGCAGTCAGTCGTATGTAAGTACTGATAACTTGGCTTTATTCAGCATAATTCAGGAACCGAAAAAAAAAAATAAACCAATTAGCACTTCCACTTTTCTTGTCCCCTTTGAATTTATCATGTTAGGTATTATATTGTGCGTGTGGTACAGAGAAGCGGCAAAGTGACTTTTGGTTAGTTTCTGACCAGTCAGAGTAGAGAGACGGGATAAAAGGGTGTAGGGAGTTAGAGAGATGCTGCCACACTAGTGACGAGAGATATGGGATGAGAGAGAACGATAGATGTTGTTACTGCTGGTGCTGCTGAGGGGGGGGATTTTCATTTTGCCTGTGATGATATTCCGCTTCTCGTACCTGAAAGAGAAGGCGGAGTCGAGAAGAGGCGAGAAACAATCAATCGATCACAACTAACTGAACTGACGGGAGCACCGTATCCGCAGTTGGCGAGATGTGATTGATAAGGGAGGAGGATGATGTATGTATATGGAAACCTACCTGCTAAATAAAAATAAAGACAAAATAAATGAAGTGGGTGAATGAATGAAGTGAGCATGAGGAAGAGAGCCGAGTTTAAGCTCTGTATGCGAGGCACTCTAGAGTATCCGACCAGGTACCAATTCAGTCAGATGTGACGAGTGGGATTTTATGATGATGTGCGTTAGTTAGGTACAGATGTGGGTGAGAGTGTGCCTGGATGGGGCTGACTGGGGGACCTCCGTCTGGGTTGTTGTCTCTCGCTTGGTGCAGTAGTTCGCGTTCTTTGGCTCCTTCCCTTCCTGTTTGGCTGCTGTGGGAGAATCCGCCGCCACTCTTTTCTCCGCTCACTCGCTCCTACACCCCCTTCCCCAACATCTTCAAACACTCTTCTTTTACTCTTTCCCTTCCTTTTTTTTTGCCCTCCTTCTCTTTCCCCCTCCCCTCTCCTCCTCCTTCCCTCTTTTTGACACCCCCTCGACGTTTGCTAGGCCTAACTTCTGTTGGCCGTCCTCTCATTTTTTGTGTTTCTTGTGCTTTCGTTGACCACTTTCCTTTATCCACACTCTCACCCCTCCCCCCCCCTTCCCCCATTACTACTACTGCTGCCAACCAAACTTGCCTCCCTGCGCCCCGTTTACTCGAGGTCACCTGGGTTAGAACCGATCGCTGTTGATCACTTTTCTGGTCAACTCGTCGCATAAGTTTCTACGCCGCTTGCTTGGTGTTCTGTTGTGTGTTACGGCTCGAACCAGTAAATACCGTCACTGCTCCCCTTGTCCGCTACTGTTCGGCCGTCCCCTCGTTCGTTCGTTCGTGGACCTGTCAGACAGATCCAACAATCAACCACTCACACACCCACTCAAAGGGAAAGCAACACCACCAACCACGGCTTAAGCCATCCACCTTGCAACAGCAGAAGCAGCAAGAAGAAGCACTACAGAGGAGTGTTGGATATTCAACGGTCACTTGAAGAGAAGAAAGCGATACTTACATACTACTACTACCACAACCACTACTACGTCTTGGGCATTGACCAACACCTACCTGCAACTCAACTGCAACGACGAACTACTTACCAGTTCGTTAAAAAAATTTCCAAAGAAAAAAGACATCCAGCTCTAGCAGTTTGGATCTTTGTTTCTTGGAGTCCTGTCCTTTTTGAACCTTTCGCTTCTTTCTACGACCAGTCACATTTGTTTCGATTCTTTTACCAACAACTACCCGTCATAACATTCTTCACTAGTGAAGAATACGAAAAAACGGTTTATTTAAAGCAATAGGAACTCGGATTCCTGTTTTTTTTCCAACGATTTTCGCTGTGTTATTTTTTTCTTCTTTCATTTAAATTTCCCCACACAAGAGGAACCAAAGTCGGTTAGTCCCCCACCCACCCTCTCCATTCATCATTCATTCACTCCCCACTTCTCAATTCCGTTTCCGTTTTGTCTTTCGGAATATTTTATACCTCCATCTACTACCTACCTCCCTTCCTTGCACTCGGCTGCCCGCGTGGTGGATGGAGACAGCGGTTGTTCCGGGTGATACTCAGACAGTAGTAGTGGCATTGGTCTCTGTCCGGTTATTGACACCAATTCAGTAGTTCCCTTTCTGCACGAGACTCCGACGCACGCGCTGTACGAATCCGCACCTTAATTTCGTCACGAACACAATCAAATCTTGTTTCTCAACCAGAAACAAAAACAAAATAAAAAAACTCCTTCTTCAAGCCTAGTTATACCTAATCTACGTACCCGCGACAAGACATAATCCATCAATAGTAATAAATCATTATGGCCACCACCGCGCAGCCTTCGCACACTCGCGACTTGTCAATTACAAGATTGGAATGCGACATTAACCCCAATTTCTCTTTCCCAGTGCCTCACACAAGGTCTCAGTCGCTTCTTCCGACTCTCACGTTCCCTCAGATGGCATCAAATAACTCATTATATCCCCCTCGACGTGGCTCAGTACCGCCTAGCAGCACTGGACCTTTGGTTTCTTTGAACAACAACCGACCAAAGTCGAGTTCTTCCGGATACACTCTTTCCTCGGTTTCGTCAAAGCAGTCAAACGAGCGACCTACACTTACAGGAGGACTCAGACCCGGTCACAGGACAATTGCCAGCGGAACAGTGCCAACAATCGTTAACGCGAGCATCAGCCCAGCAGGAGGTTCAAGGGAGGGAGGTCACCAGCGTGCAGGAAGTGAGATGATTGGAGGACCGCCTCTTATGGCTACAAGGAAGGAGGATCTCATTCAGGTCCCAGGCACATTAACTGAGAGGGCTAGGCCATTCGTACCGCTTCCCCCAAGTGGAGTTCGCAGAGGTCACGCCCATCGCAGGTCCGGGGCAATCTCGAGCGGCGATGTGTGGAGTCTTTTGAGCCAGAGTGCACCGAGTCTGCCGTTGGCGTGCACTGGTGGTGCTGGAAACCAGGGTGGTGCTGTTGATGCTAGCGCTCAACCGAAAGGTAACGCAGGCTCCAGCCCCCTTTTGAGTAAGAGTGCTCCTGTGAGCCCTGGCTTTACAGGTATGATTATAATTTTGTTTGTTTACGTTGAAATGCGTGCGTACGGAAACTGATATACCCCTCTAGTTCCTTCTCCTCTCCCTTCACCAGCTGTCCCTGTTGTTGAGTCTATGGGTGAGGCCGGCGACCGAAGAAGCCGCGTCCATTTCATTGACCACGTTGAAATAATCCCAGGGTCCGAGTCTGGAATCCCCAGTGCTCCTGTCGCCGCTGGTCACTCAGCAAAGGATAGCATCAGCAGCATTGCTACTGTTATCAAAGCGCCAGTTGTAGCTCTCCCACCTATCAACACCACAATGGATGCCCCTGCAGCTGGCCGACGACCACACGGGCGAACAAGAAGCAACTCGCAAACCTTGAACTTGCCAACTGCCGCATTGAGGGCTACTAGCGACCGACCTTCAACTGCAGGGGCTATCTTATCGTCCCCTGTTCTCAAGACTGCCCCGGAAAACTTCCCTGAAACCGCTCCTTCGCTTAAACGCCCCGCTGCCGCCTCTCCTTCTATTGACAGTGCTGAAAGCTCACCAACCAAGCCGGCTCAAAAGAAGACCCATAAAAAGGCTCTTAGTGATTACTCACCTCTTGTTGGAAAGGCACCGTTTAGTAAACATGAGAGTATGTCTGCCGATGAGCAAACCACCGACAAGAAAAAGAAGAAGAAGAAGGGCAAGAAGCAGATCAAGAACTGGGCAGGTACAATTCTCGGCAAGGGCAAAGGTCTCCGTCACACCACTAAGCGCCAGTCATTGAGAGCACCTACACCGCCAGTACCTGGGTCAGAAAACCAAGTGCCTGGTGAAAATGAATGGATTACCGCAGCGTGGAACGAGAACTACGTTCTCATGGCTGTGGATGACTCTGTTCACCCTGCTTCTAGCACTGAGAGCATCGTCATTGCGGAGACTACAGAAGGTCCCGTTATCGATTTGGACGCGGCCCTGAAGCCATTCAAGACACCGGTTGGGCCTGCTGCTGGATTCGCTGCAGCAAGGACAAGAAGGATGCATTCTGCGGTTGGATTGAAGACAAATGGATACTTCCACCGACGAAGCGAGAGTATGCCAGAGATGACTCTCTTTTCTTTGGAGGAGGGTGATGATGATGGCCACATGGATGACGTGTCTGAGGAGGACGAGAGTGAGGAAAGCGAGAGTGAGGATGAGGAAGGCAAAGGTGAGGGACTTGGCATTGGGATCAAGGTTGTTGACGAGGCCGATGGCGCGAACTGGCAAGAGGGGATTGAGATGGAGTGGGGTTCTGAGGATGCTGGTGACGAGAGGAGCATGAGGAGAAACAGTGAGCCGGAGAGTGAGGATTCATGGCACGCGCACCGAGCGTCGTTGTCGGTATCCGTGGCCACTGTCAAGGCTGTCCGCAGTATCTCTTCCATGAACTCATCAACAACAGATTCCAACGTGGAGTCAGTGTCAATCTCACCACGCAAAGGTGCTCCAGCCGATATCATTACTTCGTCGTCTGTCTCCACCATCACTGGATCAAGCCCATTCCTTTGCCCTCATCCCTCAACGAACCCCCCTGACTCTCCTCTTACATTTGTCACTGCAACATCGAACCCCAATACACCAGTCTTGTCAGATTTCGCCACAGACTACGCAGACTCTGCAACAAGCTTTGACACCTACTCGGACTTCCTTGGTGAACCTGGCCCAGAGATGAGGATGAGCGTGGATGACGTCCCTAGCCTCACTAGCTCATCAAGCACAATGACCATGAGTGGCATCTACCACAACATGCCCGCAACGCCGGTTCTAGGAAGTGTAGGCAGCCTGCCCATACCACCAGTCAAGGAAGGGAAGGAAAAGAAGGAAGGAAAATCAAAAAGGTGGAGCAAAGTGTTCACCTTTTGGAAAAAATAATTTCCTATTTCTTCATTGCGTGTTGATTCATCCCCAACAATATTATTATTGGGGAGTTGTACATTTATCGCCAGTTATTTTCTTTCTTGCAGATTTATCGTGTTTCTATTTCATAAATCCTTTGGAAGCCAGATCTGTGGTTATGTTTTAGCTGGTTCTTTTTTCTCTTTTTTTACTTATCTTTGGGATTGCTTTGGGCTTGCTTTTTGTTGCTATATTATCTTTTTTTTATTCCTACTTTTCTTGCTCCTATTCACTTGGAGTCGATGGATGACCAACTTTCCCTGCGCGAACCGTATTTGATACATACAAACCTCATAACATAACGTACCTACCTCTCTCTACCTACCAACTCAGCAGGCCCTACCTTGTGCACTCGGAAATCAACCGTCCCTTGGAAGATTTACACAACCCACCCGGGTACCCAAACCACTCATCCAGAAAAGAAAAGAAAAAAATAATGGGGAGAGGCGTTAGCCAAGGTCGAAAAAAGTGGAGAAATGCACTAGTGGAGGTGGGGATAGATGTCAACTATTTTTGTGCTGTTTTTCCATTTCTTTTATTTTCTTTTTGTCTTTTGCTTTTCGGGTGCGATATCCACCTTGTTGGGAATGGACACGGGATGGGATTGGGATTGGGATGGGTAGGCGGGGGGGTCTGTGGGTTGCTCTGGTCGGTCGGGACGGGTTAGGTTCTCTTTACTTTCGTTGTCGGGGTTTTTCTCTGGGCTATTTTCTTGCTTTTTTCCTTTCATTTTGGGCCACGGCTAGTACAGTACGGTTATGGCGGGCTTCCTTAGGAAACTCCTACTGAAATCGACTCCCGTTCATACATCATACTCTGCATCACATACTGCTTACTCACACTCATTCACACTCACTTGCTATCACACTCATTTATTTCCTTTTAAAGCTACATTCATACTTTACTGCATTAAACCACCACGCTCCTTTTCAGCATTATTTCATTTCACTTGCATATTGCGATATATATCATTACCCAAAAAAAGTCTTGTATTCGATCTTGTATCCGATCTTGTACCTCTATATCATTTAACCATACCATTATTCACCCATTACTGTATTCGATCTGCCGCATATGCTAGCCAGGTAGGAAGTGTTTCTATATCGGCGCAATAGTTTATCTGGAGTACATACTTTGTATCATTATTATTGTCATTTTTTCTTATTTCCTTTGGGTAGGGGGGAATCTCATAAAAAGGGTGTCTTTAGGTCGGGCATAAGGTTCCAGTTGTTTCTTTCCTTTTCTCTATATGGGTCTCTGGGAATCGGTGGGATTTGGGGGGTGGGTTCGGGGGAATCATGCATCGGGAATTAACGGGGTATTTCTTTTCTTTTCTTTTTTTTTTACTTCTTTCCTTCTTTATTCATATCTCACGGCTGGCTGTATATATATGGGATTGGGCTTTATATATCTTCACTTCTTGATTCTTCGTTCTTAATATCTTTTTTTCTAGTCACTCTCTACTCTACAGTTAGTTTTTTCACGAGTTTCTTTTGTCTTGTTTATATAACTGTTATTGTTTCTGCCCTCTAAGATTGTTAATTAACGGCTTTACAATAATCATATTCACTTCCACACCCCTACCTATCTGCACGACTGTTATTGTTACAGTGACACGAGTGATTTCCAGTGACCTCGGTGCGATGCGACAACACAACACTACATCTGCAGGCACAAGCAACAAGCAGCAAGTAGACCCGCCGCGGCACCGTCTCAGACAGGAAACGCTAACACATACTGCTGTGCCCAACGATCGACTATGATACTCTGCTCTAGTCCTGCGCGCAAGCAAGCACCCGACCTGACAGAACACGAATGCAGCAAAAAAGTATATCGCGATATCGAGACGGGAGCAGGCATCGATTCCCGACGTTACATTAAATGATGATTGGTATGATAGGTCCTGGAAATCAGCTAGCACACACACTCTTACACACACACACACACGAGGGCACATAGAGTAGTTCATCTTGGTGCGCCGTGGGACACAGATATGCGTCCTTCCCCACGATTTGGCAGCTTCGGGTTCCGTTATCGGGGCCGTGTTATCTCTGCGTATATATCCCACACCCACCCATTCCATTCTGTGTCCGTGTGAAACCACCACAGGGAGTGGGGAGATGTTTCAATAATCCAAATTCTAACTGTTCCCCTCCATCCGGGGAAGGAGGAAGGGGACTATCTGGGTTGGATCTCGAGATTGGGTATTTGAGGGGGAGGCTGTGCTCTTTTTGTTTCCTGGGTTCTGTTTCATCTTGTATATCACGTGAAGACTTCTTTGGGGGGTAGGTACGCGGAAGTACACGTATGTGCTTTGTTTTGTGGGGACGTTGCAATTTGGGGTGGAGAGTGGAGATGGGTGGGGATATTGATTGGGTTTGGTGGTCTTGGTTGACCATGTCAATGATCTTGTAACAGCGTACCCTACTGGGTCATGGGGTGATGATTATTGAGGCAATATTGAAGTGTAACTGCTTAAATCAGAACTAAAACACTGTATGTATTACTGAAGTATTAGAGTATAATTAACATCCAGAAGTCTAGTAAATCAAAGCCAAAAGCCAAAGCTAAAGGCTATGGTGCTTGACTTTTAACTATGTATGTATAGAACAAAAAGAATCAAAACCCAAACACCATCTTTCGCCAAATCGATAGCCATACTCCAAATTAGAATCGCAATCATAGGATCTCAACAGGCATGTAAATTGCACAAATTAGTGCTCCGAAAATACATCCTCTTTGACAACGGCTTTTTACTTGCCCTGACCCAGTCAGCACAGCCCAGTTTACACGTGTATTATATTCAGGTACGAACCAGTAACTATGTTTTGTTGGTACAATCTACAATTGGCTCATTGCCAATTTTTCTCATCCTAGCGACGTTGAAGTCCGTGCTCCTGCCATATATACCGACACGTGGAACGGGCACTATTCACACAACCCTGATCCTGGGGTGTCACGAATTATCGAGGTCAAAGCTATGTGGACATCTAAATGGACGAGCGTCGTGAGTTGGCTATGATTCGTAGGGTCACTCTTGACCCTACGTTGGTTGGTGTTGCGTAGAGCAGCGAGGATCGGAAATGACCAACCAGTCAGAAACGGCGACGAGTGATAATTCGTGACTAAAATTCACTCACAACCAACGACCAAATATAATCTCTTCAGGTAAACACGTGATATCCAATCATATAACAGATCTTTGTTTATTATCAGTTACGGATCTGGAGGGGGATACTCACCCTCCCTATTTATCGGTTGGTGTTTGAGGCAGGTACCTGAATTGGATGCTATTTATGGAGCTTTCTACATACTTAGCTAGCTACCCTTGTTGTTTTGAATTTCCCCATGTCCGGCCGGTACCTACTCCCGTACCTAGAGTACCTCACTTCGAGACATGTTGCGGTTCCCGCCTCTCAAACTTGCAAAGTCAGCGGTACATACGCATCAGAGCGACTGGGCTGTGTTTCTCGGGATGGTGGATCCTTGTTTTGGGATCTAAACACTGTATAGCTCCCCCCCTGATCGACCTTGATGTTGGGGTACCTATAGCTATATCGATGCGTGATATATGTCTACCTACCTAGCTGCGTACCTGCCGCCAGAAAGAAAACAAAGGTTACACCAATAGGGCCAATGATGTTATTGTAAACATTGAATTCATCTCATCTGCCCCTCTCCCTCGTCCCTCGTCCCTCACCCGTGCCGCCGCCGATAAGCAAACAGTTCCAAGACCAATCTGCACTTTTCAGCGCTGGCTGCACCTCGGCAGTTTTTTCTTTATTATTATTATGATTTATTTTGCCAGTGGCATGGCAGTGGTTGGCGGCACAAAAACGGTTTTGCTTTCCAGCGGGCTTGTTTGATGTGGTTCAGCAGATTGCAATTGCAATTTCATCATGCAAACAAACAAGATATACTCCCGGCCGGAAACGCCTTTTTTGTGGTACCGTGTGACGGATGATGTCTTGCAGGTTGTGTTCTGGATGGGTACTTAAGTCTACATGAGAACCCGAAGCTGCAGGTAGCTATGGGGGGCGGGGAATATGTAGCTGTAGCCATTATTGCTCTGGACCTGAGGGATGGAGATCTCAAGAGCTAGGCCATCTCTTTGTGATGACATTGTTTACTATTTACATTCTCATCGGAGGCAGAAACGGGCAACACACTGAGATGGGACGGGAAGAGGAGCGATTGGGAGGTATCGAGAAGAGTAGAGCACTTAGAGGAAGAGGTTAGTGGGGTACCGTTCCCTGGGTTACGATGTGCGGGGTGATATGGAGAACAGGAGGTTGATAGGTGAAAATGATGGCGACATGAGCTCATTTACAAACGCAGGGTCTGCGGGCTGCGGGCAGCTGTAGTACCATGACGAATGGGAACCAATACCAGCAATACCAGCGAGTCCACAGGGGGGAGAAGCAGAACAGCACACGATGAGAAGAGTCCCCTGAAGACAAAAAGCGGGTGTGGCTGGGCAATGTTTTTGTGTGTTGTTATTGTTTTGATATGGGATCTCCACTTCTGATTCATCAGTTAGGGTCTCAGCTTTGCTCAGGTGGGAGCTTTATCGGCCAGAAAAGGGGGCCGGCGTTGCTGCAGCAACACCTTGTTGTGACTGCCGAGCACTTGGCGCCAGCAGAGATTGCCGTAACGGGATGCCAAGCTTTCAGTTCAAAACAAACAGAACTGTGAGCCAGCGACGCTAAAATGGGAAATGCTGCCCTCCGTCTTCAAGGTCCACCTCTCTTTCCTCAACATCTACTTCGACAGCATCCCATCGATACAATTAACTAACAGTTTGGCAGCAGCAGCAGCAGAGCGTTTCTCTTCCCCCCCCCTCCCCTCCCTCTTCTCTTTTATCCAAGCGTCCTTTTTTTCCTTTTCGCTTGTCTTTGCTCTGCCTGGCTGTTGTGTATCCTCTCTCGATCACTGTAAGGGCCCGGTTTAGAACAGCTGCTGCCTCGGAAGATCAA